TACTTTATTTAATCTCAGCTGAAATGTATCAAGTATGGTAAATGTTTTTTTCTCTCTTTATTTCAAGTATAATAAACGTTAGACAAATGGAATCCGTTCTTTTTGAAAAAAAAAAGAAGAAGAAGAAGAAGAAGGGGGTGATATTAATTATGAGACATTAATAAATTTAAGAGGGAAAAATATGTCAAGCCAATAGGCAAAAATAAATGACATCATCGCTTCATAGTTCAATATTCCTCGGTTCTTAATTTTTTTAATAAGAAATACATACAAGCACATTAGTCTATATAATATTGATTAACATGAACCTAGCTCAGTAGTTAAGGTATATTACTTATTTTTAGAAGTCAAATATTCGATCTCCTATTTTTCTCTGTTGTACTAAAAAAACTATTAAAAATATGTAACGAAAGAACATTCAATATAGATTTCTCTCTACCTGAAATGATTATTCTAACGAATACTGTTAATTATCATTACTTTACCTTTAAAAAAATTATTATAACAATGTCAAAAAGAAAATTTTGAGTTAAGTAACATCTAGGTTTAGGAAATTTAAACAGGTTGGAGGAGATATATATATATATATATATATATATATATATATATATATATTCAGTTAAACTATACTTTTCATCCAATTACTAAAACTTAATTGAAGAGTTTAAATGGAGGAGAGTAATTAAACTGAATCTATATTTCTTAACCGAAGGCTACTATAAAGTCAAAATTGGATTGACGTATATTTGTAGTGCATATTTTTTTCTGTCTCTATTATTCATTTTTTTAATATAATTAAAATATTATCTGTACTGAAAAAAAAAACTTGGTAGAGTGATTAAATTGTATCTATATTTATGTTAATTATTTGGGATTTTTAAAATGTTAAAATTTTCAATAGTAAATATTGGGTCTATGTGTGAAAAATCCGTTTTCACATTCTTATAAAATAAATGGTAAGTAATATGTTAAATATACATTTTAGGCCAATTTGGTTACTATTTGATTTCTTTATTTTCTCTATTATTAAAAGTTATGTAGGATTTATCACAATTTCTTTTATATGTTTGCCTAACTCTCTTAAAAATACATCTCTAATTTCTTAGTCGAATTTCAAAAAGAAAAATAAATTTTAAAAAATTACAGTATTTTATTTTTCTCCGTGGAAGATATGTTTTTAAATTAAAATTTTAAAAGGAGAAGGTAAAAGATGAAAGGGTTATAAATAAGACATTAACTTATAGATTTTATTTTTAGAATTTTACCCATTATGTATTTTTTTTGAATTAAATCAAATGTACAGAAGAAAAGTGTAAGTATGAAGTTAAAAATGATATTTTTCTTGAGGTTTTCAAGCATCAGTGTATCATCATTTTAATACATCAAATTTCTCAACATAGTGAGCATTTTTTCTGTTAAGTTATTACTTTGTCAAATCATATAAAATGTGTAGGTTTTAAAATTTATGGGTGAGTAATTTATCTATTCTATCAAAATATAAAATATTTTCAGCTCAGTTAATAACTTGTATTTTTGACATTATTCATTAAAAATATTTCATACAATTTAAAACTTTGAAAAGATTAAACATCAAATTCAAAAAGGACTATAGGGCCTATATATATATATATATATTTCGGCCAAATAATACAAGACTTTATGCAAACCAAAATATTAATATATTTAAAAATAAAGATCAAGATGAAATAGATATAAAAGTTGAAATACCAAAATAGATTTTTTATTTCGTTAAATGGGATCGAAACGAAACACATCCAGCGAAAAAGAAAAATATTTTGGTAAAACTCAAAAGTAAAGTATATTTATTTGTTGTGTTAAGGAAGTCGTATCGTCGTTATCGTAGAGCATAAAAAAGAAAAAGTCCCAACGCCGTGAGGGATCGTCTACTCTCTGTTCCACAGAACAAACCGTACACATGTTGTCCACGTTGCGGACGGAGATTGGACGGTTACTTTCTTCTTTATTTTCTCACGTAACTTAAGACTACGTCCAAAACCGTCAGCTGACGGAGTTGGAGGCTTCAACGACAACCGATAGAGATAAAAGACTCTTTATTTAACGACAGTTACTTAGACGATTGACCAAGTTAACTTCACTTCACGCGGTTTTGCCAACTACCCCCCCAACACATAATTCTTTACCTTTTGGCCCTTTCTTTTTTCTGTTTTGTTTTGTTAAATTCATTTTCGATTATTTTCATTTCTCCGGTTTTTGGGGTTTTATCCCCTTGATTGTGAAACGTCAATATCGAGATTGCTGTTATTTTCTCAAATAATTTTTGATTATTCAAATAAAGTAGTTGGTTATTTCACAAAATGGTTGGTACGAAACTGAAAATATTTAATACGAGATAACCATTAGTATAATAGTAATGGATAGAATTGTGTTTTCGTTATGACTTTAATATTTTTACTTAAATTGAAAATATGACCTAAATTGCCTTTTAAATTGATGTTTATAATAAATTGATCGTTTTAAAACACTCTAAAATATATAACCATAGATGTTAAGCATATCCAAAAAGATATATTTTAAGCCTAGGTATTTTCGAAGAAACTATTTTTTCTTAATAATAATAATAATAATTATTAGTTCATTGAGGTTATTTCTGTCTTATCACATTTTTTGTTTTCAAAAAGAGGAAAATGAACAAAGTCTGAAACTTGGGCCAAAATAAGCCTTGAATACCATAGACTTTTCTTAGAGTCCCGATATCAGAAATCAAAATGATTTCATTTTTATTTTATTTTATTTTAAAATTAAGCTTGTTTATTCAGAAATTTATTTGTTTTGAATTTATATATTTTCAAAAAATATAATTCTCATCTTAATTTGAAAAACAAAAACTATTTTTGAAACTACTTTTTTCTTTTGGTTTTTAAAATAAAACTAAGATTTTATTTTTTTTGAAGTATTCATAAGGAGTAGAAATTGAAAACAAACCAGCTTAATTATTAAAAAGTAAAAAATAGAATGGTTAATAAAGTTTCCTTTTCTATATATATATACACACACATATATATATATATATATATATAATATTTTAACTGTTACTGAAATTGCTAATTTTATTGTTTGTGACAATATATGAATAGTAAACAGAGCATTTACCTATCTAGCATAAATAGATTTATATTTAAAAAATCAAACTCAAAATTCAAAATGTTATATAAAACGCAATTAGAAAAGCCACACTTATGCTATATCTAAAAAAATGGAAAAATGTGACAGCTATACAGTGAAATTTCTATATTTAATGTAAAAAGAAGAAAAAAAAAAACTGAATACTTTGTTTTTAAAGAGTTAAATCTTTAACTGAAACTTCCACGCTATGTAGGAAGAAAGTTTTGAGTGCCAGAAAAAAAAAACCATCAAACAGATTTATGTTAAAGTTATAGGTAAAAAATAGAAAAAATAACCAAGAAATTATTGTTCACATTTTCTTAATTAGAAAAATAAGAAAGAAGAAAAAAAGAAATATATATTTCAAAATCAGACCTTAAAAACTTTTTTTTAGTGCTAAAAACTTGTTTAATACATAGAAGAAAACTGAATTATGATTATAATACGAATTCGGTAGTAGATTTGCCTTTTTTTTTTTCCCCCGAGAAAGCGGTAATAACATTTCTAATGCATTTTTAATGTTACATTATCTTGTTTAATATCAATTTCAACTCTATATTTACAACATTTTAAAAATAGTATTTTATATCTCGGATAAATTATAAAGCCCAAAAAACAGGTTTTTAAAATATCCTGTAGTTTTAAATTTAGTCAGTACAGAAAATAAATGTTCTTTAAGAAAAATGTATACAAATTGAAAGCATAGTGGTAGCTTAAAATAGTTGCATATTCCTAAGAGTTTCAAGACTATCAATTTTGTTAGGTTGAAATATTTATACTTAGAAATTTCGCCAACGAGACAAGTTAAATAGCTTGAAGAAGTATAAGAAATTTCATTTTAAGACCTGTCAGGTAATGTTTTGTTTCCTATTTTCAATAAACAAAATCATAAGTACATGTGGTAACTATTTATCTATTATCATTTTTTTTTGAAAAAAAATAAGAAATTTTGATCCGGTGTGAAATGGAAAAAGAAACAAGAAACTTAGAACCCGTTTGGTAACGTTTTATTGTTTATTATTTTCAATTTTATTAAAAGATCTAAACATTCAACTATTCCGATTTCTTGTTTCTCATTTTTTTTAGAAGTATTCTCAAAATTGTACAAAAATTTTAGAAACAACAAAGACTTCTTGTTCCCATTATTCTTGAATCCATGGGTGTTGAGGCCATGAAAATTATATATTATTTTAACAACACAAAAACGAAAAATGAGAACGTTATCAAACAGACATTTGTTTTTTGTTTTTATTTCCAAAAGTTCTACATAATTTTGGAGCGTTTCTAAAAAAAATAAAAAAAATGACATTAATAGTTTTCGAATGCTTAAAGTTTTGGATAAAACAAGGAAAAAAAACAAATAGTAACCTCACCAAACATACCTTATCTTTTCAAAATCTATATTAATAGAAAAATATTTATGGTCAAAATAAACCTAGCTTTGTGATAGTTAACATCTAATCATATTGGTGTCTATATTTCAATTTATTGTATTAAAGAAAAAGAAAAGAGAAAAGGGAGTATTTATTAAAAAGATATTTGTAATTAAATAAAATGTCATAACACAAAAATCGTAATTTAATGTTCTGATTCAATAAACAGCAGTCATTTCATTTTTTAACATTGACCCTAGTTAAAATTACCAAATATCTATTAAACTAATAAAAAAAGAAATGTAGGAGAGAAAAATCAAAGACAGTGATCCGTATGCGGTATTCCCCCTCCCGTTCAAGAAACTGACCGAAGTTTACAAAAGAAAACAGGGAACTGGTATCCAAAAGAGGAAGAAACAAATAATAAAATATTTAAAAAAGAAAAAAAAAAGATGGGGACGCAGCAGAAAACAAGAAAGGGGTTGTTAATTGGATGCTGATTACCGGATACGCATTCTTCCATGGATGCCTTCTCTTTCACAGCGCCTCTTAAAATCCCATAAATGAAAAATCTAGTACCCCCATGCCTTAATTATTTTCCCTTTTCATTTCTCTCTCTCGCTCTAGAATCCAGAACAACCCCTGTTGAACTTGAATAGCTCTGACGTTTTTTCTTTTGATTTCTCACAATCTGTTTCCAATCCCCTTTTGGTTTTTTTCTTTTGGTGTCTGGGTTCTTTATGTTTCCCGGAATCTTTCTGTTTCTCTGGGATGCTTGTAATCTGAAAACAACAGAAAGGAAGATCTCGTTTTCCCATCCAGCGGTGATTCCGGGGCGGGTGTTTGGGCTGGATTTAACTTAAAGCTTTGTGGAGAGAAGGCTGAATTGGTGCGAGTGTGTGTTTCCGTTTTCTTGCTCAATTAACAAAGTGGAGTGAGTCGGTGTTGAGTTTCCTTTACGGTTAGTTAAAAGCAGAGGGAACCCATCACTTTTAGTTGCGCCCCGAATTGAACCATCGGATTCGGGTTTCGTTTTGACAGCATTGACAACGAAGACTCTCCCAGGGGGGACGGAGACAGAGTACGGGGAGGAGGAAAATAAGAAAAGCAGATTCTAATTTTCCGTGAAATTTGCTGTTTCCAAATTCTAATTTTAGGAATTTTCCTACACGTTTTTTAGTTTATCTCATGTCTCACTCCTATTTTTCCATTTCCCCAATCTGAAAAATTAAATTCTAAGGGAAAAGAAAAAGAAAAGAAGCTCCGATAATCTCTCTCCCTCTTCCATTTCTGTCTCTAGTCTTTCTCGGAGCTCTGTTTTTCGGTCAGCTTTCCGGGAATCCTCTGCTTTTCAGGGTTGGGGGGAAGACTCTGTAAATTTTGTCTCTCTCCCTCCTCTCCGGAATCATGATTCTTGGCAAAGGGTCAATGCAATCCAATTTGGGTTGCTTCCTCCATTGCACGACGCCGGTTGTCAATTCCCAATTCTTACCCAAGGTTAGGATTTCGCATTTTTCCCTTCACCACCACGGAATTTTCCCTTCTCGTATCTATTGGTAATTTTATTTATTTTTTTCTCCATCTTTTGTTAGAGTGAGATTAGGAATCTGAATCGTCTGTGGCATCCATGGGAGAGAGAGAAGGTCGAATATTTCACCCTTGGCGATCTCTGGAGTTGTTACGACGAATGGAGCGCATACGGTGCCGGCGTTCCGATCGCCGTCAACCACGGCGAGACCCTTGTCCAATATTACGTTCCGTATCTCTCTGCAATCCAAATCTTCACCAGCAATTCCACCGTCAACAGTTTCAGGTACCCCTTCTTCCTTTCAATTTTTACACATTTAACAGAAATTCTGTTTACCCATTTCTGATCGCCGAACGAGGTTCGACTTTTCAATTTCCAACGATCCATCGAATTTAAATTCTGAGAGGAAGAAAAAACCCAATTTCGTTTTGAAGGGAAGAGTGCGGTGACAGTGAAACGAGGGATTCGTTCAGTGATTCGTGCAGCGATGAGAGTGAAAGCGAGAAATTATGGAGATGGGACGGAAGCTCATCAGAGGAGGGAGGATTGGAGCAAGACAGCCCTCTGCATCTGAGTGACAGATTGGGGTACCTTTACTTTCAGTATTTCGAGAGATCAACTCCCTACGGAAGAGTTCCACTAATGGATAAGGTAAAAAATAAAATTAAGAAAGTCTTTCCTCCATTTCATCACTTTTTTTACTTCTCTGGGTTGTTGCTGCACTTTTGTTTTCTATTATATTCCGAGTAGAAGAAGAATAAGAAAGAAGGAATGCTGGTGTGTGGATGTGGTGGAATCATATGGGATTTAGTTATTTATGGGCATCTAATAAAAAGATGAACCAAACACTTTTTGACCCTTGAATAATTAAGGTTGCTGAATCTGTGCTGCGTCCACTTCAATATATTTATTCTGGGTTGGCTGCCTGATTGATTCTATTTCTTAATTGGCTTTCAGATCAATGGATTGGCTCGAAGATACCCTGGCCTGATGACACTGAGAAGCGTCGATCTTTCTCCTGCTAGTTGGATGGCTGTTGCCTGGTCTGTCTCTGTCTCTGTGTGTGTGTGTGTGTGTGTTGTGTTTAATATAGAAATTTGGGAAATGTGTATTAATGGGGGTGAGTGGATTTGAGTTTTGCAGGTACCCAATTTACCACATTCCAATGGGAAGAACGATAAAAGACTTGTCAACATGCTTCCTGAGTTACCACACTCTGTCATCTTCATTTCAAGGTAAGGAAAAGGGAAATTTAGGGATATGACGGTTAAAGTTAAAAGTTAAAAAAGTTAAGTGGTGGTTTTGATTGGTGGTGTAGATATGGACGTAGAGGACGAGTTTGAGAGTAGTGGAGAGAGGAAGAGAAAAGAAGGAGAAGGCATATCGCTGGCGGCATTTGGGTTGGCCACATACAAGATGCAAGGAAACGTGTGGATTTCTGGTAATTATGGGCGGGACCAGGAGAGGGTTGTGTCCCTTTTGAGCGTGGCAGATTCATGGCTAAAGCAGCTCAGGGTCCAGCACCACGACTTCAACTACTTCACAGGCATCCGTCGTGGCTGATCTGATCAACATATACACAATAACTTCTCCAACAAAACCAAACCAAACCAAACCCATTTTTAACCCACTCCCAATCCCCATGGATTCACATTGAAAAATTGACCTCCAAAAAATCCTCCTTTCGGTTGCTTTTCTGCTTTTCTGCACTTACCATGGAGAAACTTTCTTTTCCTTTCTTTTCCTTTCCTTTTTTCTTCTACTTATATGGTTTCTTTCAGAGTGTGAGCGAGGATTTTAACTTCTTCTCAGCTTCAGACTCGGGCAGCTGCATCCATAACGCCATGGCCTGGTTTTCATGTACTTGTAATTTTTGCGCTTGGTGGTGGGGTGGCTTGTGCATACACTTACTGACGACTCATCAGGTTTCAAAAGGGAGAGAGAAAACAAAAAGAGAGAGAGAGAGAGAGAGAGAGCCGAATTGTTAATTGTTGTGTTTATTTTCCGATGGACCAAATTTTAGAGTCTCCCTTAATGATGAAAATGGCCTGCGGGTGCGGGCTATGATTACTCGACCCATCTTTATTGTGCATTTTGTTTGGCCACCGGGAAGGAAACTTCTCGGATCATAAATAAATATATATACGTGTAACATTTTTATGCCGCCAAATGCCAAGTGATGTGATCTTGGTTGAGACTTCAAAGTGGGTCCTCTGTGTTTGAACTTCGAAATTCTATCCTCCTCTCTCTAGTCTGTATGCTTTTGTTTCCAAGTCCAGCTAAATCCTACCCTCTAATCGAGGATCATCCACTCAATTTGAAAAAGCAGCAACAAAAACAAAACAAAACAAAAAAAAAAAAGTTGAAGAATTTTTGTCAGATGAAAATGGGTTGAGTTCTCCCAAGATGAGATCTGAAGACTGCAAATGAGCAAATTGAATCTGATTTTTTTTGGGGTGTGAATGTGATGGGCAATCACGTGTTAGATTAGAACTTAGAGATGGAATTAAATTGGAAATAAAATGAAGTGAAAGGGGCAGAGATCGGGTCCATGTGAAGACAGTGATGGGTTGGAACAACGTGTTATTGAAATTGAAATTGATAAGATAGGATATAATTATAAAATGCCCAAAATAGTACATGTGAACGCGGCTTTTGGAAATTGAAACTTTTACTCCTACCTATAAATCTCATATTTCCATTTCAATTTCTACTTATGGTTTGAATTTTTCCAATCAAGTAACTATCTGGCACGAGATATTGTATTGTATGTTGTCATATACGAATTGAGGTATCTTGGAGCGGACATTGTGTACATTTAAACAGCGTTGATAAGATTAAATACATTGTGATAAAGATTAAAAAAACAGAAATGTAATTTTAAATGTGTGAAATATGGCTAATCATAATATATTTGTTTATTCTCTAAAATGGAAATGATGTACTATATGGTTGATGACATTAAATATAATCAGGTTTATTTCATCCTAATCCTTTAGTTTCTGACAACAAAGTATTAGGTTTTAAGTTGGATTAAAAAGTGATCAGCATAGCAAATGAAGCTTATTGGTATATGTTGAGATGTCCTAAAACTCATTCATCTCTCCCTCCTCTTTGATGTAGTGCCAAACAACGATGCTATATCCACTTTATAAGTATTAAGTATGAACACAGAGAGAAATAAAACCCTTTAAATTAATCATCCACACAATAATAGTACACATGGAGACAAGAGTGAAACTTCTCCCTCATTAATCTATTTAATGAAATGGATGACTTTGGTGTCCCAATACCCACAAACATCACTACCACCAACACATGGGTCACGGTTTTCTTTTAGTCCTTTGAACTTTCAACTAGTAAAAATCAACACTCTCTCTCTCAGTTTTATTATGTTACAAAAACAACAAGCTTATAACAATGAGCTGTAAATGTAAACTATACCTTAAATATATGTTTAATGCATATATTTGTCTGTGTTCGTCTGCCACATATCATAAATTATAAATATTTGAAATTGGCTCCCCCTTTTATAGAGAGCTGTGGAAAATGTTACCTTGCCATGCTGCGCTTCGTATTTGAAGTTTATGACGGTGATATATGTGTTTTCACGTTGGTGATGAGCAGGGATTCTATTGGGTCGGTCAGGTAACTTTGCCAGTCTCATCTCATCCTCAACTTGCCTGAGTCGAAGTCCGAATGTGTGTTTCCAAGCTAATGGTCCACGGGATAGACTTTGATTCCATCTATAACTTTGCACACTGCTGTGCTAAGCTCAACACATTCTAATGTTTAAGTCAGATAAGTAGTTTCGTTGAAAATAGTAAAAATTAATTAGGGTTCTAGAATCTACCTCGCACCTCAGGTCCTATTCTATTATTTATAAATGGAGTCTCCCTCAAGACGACTTGGGTGGACTAATTCAATCGAATCCGGACAACTTGGCTAGAGTCTAATCAGGTCGAGTGGTTTGACTTTGATTAAGTTCGAGCAGCTTGAACATCACTTCTTTGACTCCACTGCATGTGAACTACAATAGTGAATAACCTACCATTTCTATACTAAATTGCTCAAATTCAACTAATGACAAAACATCCTATATAATAATACAAAAACTTTGAAAAAATATTGTCACTCAATCACAAATATAGTTAAATCTTTCCTTTTCCTTTGACAATCAATTATAATTAAACCTAACCTCACGTGTAAATGGAAAAAAAAAAAAAAAATCCCAAAGAAGAATTTTAACACTAACCTCATTCAAGTTTAGGATTATTTCAATGGAATTTAGAGTAAGTTTGACTTATTAAATTCCTTTTCTCTGGTTCAAGTTTGACTTATTAGCAAGATTCTCCACGAAAAATTTCATTGTGGTTAAATTCGGTATTAGAATCCCACTTACCTTTAACACATTCTGGATGTGTTAATGGCAGTTGCATATAAAAGTAGTATATTTTCATAGAATTAAAAAAGAAGATTTCCAGATTGAGTTTAAGGCATTTGCATATATAATAATTATTACCCAAAACCATACATCATCAGTACTGGCTTAACTCACTCTACTAATCTTCAACTTTTCCTAGTTGAGAAAATTAGTGGTATTACGTTTAATTCACTAATGAATAAATATTAATATTAGTCACTTTATTTATAGTACATCTCCTTCAATATAATTTAGCAACTGACGTAAATGTATAAATATCCACTTAGTGACGACTGACTAACAATACTAACCATCATTGTTTAAGTCGTTTAGAGATCAAATGGTCAAAAACAATTTCAAAGAAATAATTTATTAATATTTTATTGTATAGTTACAAATCACAGTTTTTTTTTCAAAAGTTCAATTTGATCTAATAAATAGTCTATTTGGACCGACATAAAAGGTCCAGTAGTTTAGGAGTACGTAACAATGTCTATTCTTTTACTTGAAGTCGGAAGTTAAAATTTTCCCACTCTAAATTTGTTGTACTTGAAGAAAAGAAAAATAGTATAACTAAGTTAAAAATAAAATATATTTTTGGTCTACGAGATTTGAAATAAGTCTCTTTGGTCCTCAAGGTTTCAAAATGGACACTTTTAACATTGAGGGGGTAAAGTAATGGTTCTAAATAGTCCTTAGTTGCTTTGATTGCTAGTTAACTAATTTTAAAATGACGTAGCTTCTAAATTGTTGACTATAATCACTTGACAAAAGATATTAATTTAATATTATTTTTACGGTGATGGGACTGTCTTCCAATGTCTCTCCTTCTCCTTCTCCCCCAGCAAACTTTGCCATCAGCCACCTCCTTTGCTGCCACTCGCCTACTTGCCACCTCCGCCCTATGACTTGCCCATTAGAGGTATTCATGGGGCAGGGTAGAGACAGGATGGGATGCATCTCGTGAAATTTCTCACGAAATTTTGTGTGGGAATCGAATTTTCATATAGAACTATTTATCGTTAATTTTTTTTATTTTAAAATTATTTTTAAATTAATTAAATAATATTTAAAAAAAATTCTAATTTTCAGAAAAAAGAAATATATATATATATATAGAATAATATGGATTTTTTTTTAATTTTCTGGAGACAAATAAAATAGATTGTTAGACGTATATGGTAAATATTGTAAAATGAATGCCAACCACGACCTAGTTATGTTGGTTTTTTTTTTTTTAAAAAATACCTAGCTACGTTAAAGAATGTAATCGAATAAAATCAATGAATTTAAAGAATTTCCAATTTCTTGAAAAAATTTCAAACGTGTCCAAATAGATTAAATTACATGGTAGAAGATTACCCAAACCCTCAATAATTGCACAAAATTTAGGAGTGATTTCAAAAGGAAAAGAATGGTTTCCATAACATAAAAATTAGCTTTTCTAGATCAAACTCTAAAAAAAAAAAAAAGGAAAATTAGTTCTATATTCATCCCAAATAATCCTGCTTCTCCTCAGTTTGAATCACTGCTTTTTAATTTTTTTTATCCTTTTAATGGAAATTTTTTGTCCTTCACTTGTATTTTTGTTTTAACAGATGACTTTCGTCTTCCATGATAAGGCAGTTTAATAGAGGGTTTTCCTCTTCAATTATTGTTTTTTTTTTCTCCTTTATACGATATATTTGCTATATACACATTTATTTTGTTTTCTCGATTTGGTTTATTGAATAAATGTAACTTTTTTAGGTGTTGACATATCTGATATATATTACTATGTACATGTATATGGGTAGATAAATTAAAAGAATAAAAACTAAAAATATAAGTTGTAAATATTTTTAAAAGTGAACAAATTTGAGAAGGGTTTAAATCATATGATTTGGGTTAGAATTGTGGAAGTGTGAGCTTCGAATTCAGGGGAAGAAGGATTTCTGAGCATAGATGCCACCAGGCCACAGTCCACTAACCCTGGCTTTCAATTGGGCCGTGGCCCATTTGAAAAGCTACACCAAACAAATTGGAAGCGATTGGACCTTATCAAGACCCAAACCCAAATGGTAGGCCCAACCAATAGTGGTAAATTAGAATATGTATATACAAACACAAAAGCATGTTTGGTTATTTCAGAGTTTTATTTCCACCATCAATCCTGACCTAAACCTAATCGTGAGTTCAAATTCTCACTCTCACATATTGTACCAAAAAAAAATCTTTTCTAACCAAAATATTTACATGTTTGTATATCCACCCAATTTATCTATAAAATTAGGCTGCTTCTGATTCTTTTTTTTTTTCTTCTTTTCTTATACTTTTTCCCACCTACAATTTCATGCCATTCTAAGATTCCTATAAGGATGCTCTCTTATAAATATTAACACAATTGGAAGAATATTCAAATATAAATCACAAAGTAGGAAGGCCTGATGATTCAAAGTTTAAATTGAATTATGTTACTTCATGATTTAATTATTTGGTTGTTAGTAATGTTTCAACTGCTGTCACATTCCAACTCAAGTAGCTGGAAGACTTACTGAATTGGGTTGGTATATCCAGATCAAAGTTCAAAAGTCCCATAATTTAGTGCATTAAAACATTATATAGTCAAATTAAAATAATGATAAACAGTACATCAGAAAATTGGAAAAGTGCCCATAATCATAATATCTTACTGGAAAACTGGGTCCAACTGCTCTTTACCTTCCCCATCATCCCATAACACTGCCTAATTGCTACATAATTAAATGTCTTCAGGGGACTAAATAATCATTCCATAAGTTAATACTTCTATGATCCTGATCCCATAACAATGCCTAATACTTATATGAATTTTTCAATTATTTAATTCAGAATTTTTCCTTTTTTTTAAACCCCCAATGATGCCGTATGTCATTGCGACTTGATTACTTCAAGAGTTGGTAAATCTATGGTGGAAACTCACACTTTCATCAGCACATGTGAAATATAACCACAAAAACTTTAATTGATTGTTATCCCAGAAAATCTACTCTCAAATTTTCAATAATTACACACATCGAAATGTAATTAACTATTTAACTCTTGGATGCAAACAAAAAGAATTGGAGAGAAGGTGTACTTAATCCCAACCTCGCTTTTTTTGGATTTAAACTTAACTATTCTGAAGAGAGTTTACTAAAACCCTGATGAAATTTTGTTAAGATGTTAACTAATTATTTTCAGTACATAAATGAAGAGGGAAGATTTAACTCGGGTAAAAATTACGGTGAGTTAAGTTAAGTTGTTGACTGATATATATTATTTTCTTATAATTTTTCTGTCACCGCCATAAGACAATAATTAAATGGCAAATTAGAAAGGGATAAGATAAGAGCTTAGTCGTCGTCGTGTCAATATATTTATGGCAGGAAATTTAAAATGAAAATAATAATAAGAAAATAAAGAAGTAAACGAAGCTCAATATTTATATATTGAATGTGTTAGTTAATACATACATTTTTTAATATAACATGAGAGGTGTAGATTTGAATTTATGAATTTTTAGTTGGAGATAATACTTTAATCGCTCAAGTTAGATAAATTAATGTTTTTTTCCTTTTTAAATAATTGATGTTTTTTTAAAGAAAATAGAATTTAATGCTAGAACTAAAAATATGGTAATGGTTTCATTTTGTTTGTTAAATATAAACTGAAGAATTATTTCTTTTCGAAGAAAATAAACTCAACTATTGAAACCTATTATATATATATATATTTTAATTCAAGTGCTTCAGAACGTGGGTTCAAACCATCAACTTAAAACTGATAATAATTATCTTTAGATTCACAATAAATTATTTGATTATGGTTTTCTATTGAATAAGATATTATTATAATAAAAGTATCATATTTGTTATTTCTTCGTTGAAGTATATAAATTAATATGCAAATAAACTTTTTTTTTTTTTTATAGAATAGGCAAATAAACGTTTCCTATGTGACAAGTGGCATTAATAATAAAAGTTGATATGATGGGTGAATAATTTAATACATCAAATGTTTCACATGTATATTTAATATTATGATATAATTGATAATAAAATTCAACAATCGTACATTTCAAAGAAACTATCCGGCGGTTTTGGTTATTTTTCTACATGAAAAAAAAAGTTTTTCCTTACACGTCACTTAACCATTAATTCTATCGCCAACTTGAACTTAATTTACCGGGTTAAGATATCTACCTTCAATCAAAATAACTAATTCTACCAATTCCCAAACATCCAAGAAAAAAAGTGGGTCAATCTCCATCTAATTATTTAGAAATAAAAGATATAGAAAACTTAGTTTTAAAGGGAATGAGTATAACCTATTGTTGTTGTTGGATTTGTAAGGAGGGTACAAACAAAGTCTCATATTAATTAAAGAATTGAAAGTTCGTTATAAGATAGGAGAATTATCTCCATTGTATGAGGTATTTTGGGTTAAACCAAAAACTCAACTATGTCTAAAGCGAACAATATCATATTATTATGGATATACGTGGAATATTTGGGTACCGCTGCTACCTACCTAAGATTTAAAATTCAAATTTTTTTGGCAATCAAATTATCTAGTCAACTTTGGTTGGATGGACAAATTAAAATTTTCAAAAATTAATTTGGAAATCAAGTTTTGTTTTCTTAGATCAGATGTCAACTATCATCAATTTGGAATAAGAATCCATTAAAATAGACCACTTATACCCTACTTCAATGACAATTCTTTGTTTTGAGTTGTGTCCTGGTTGGTGTCATATAGCAGTGGTTGAATTCAAACAATTCTTTGTGGTTATTATTGTAGTTTTTAGAATTTATTCAACTATAATTTTTTTATTAAATGATAACAATGCTATAGATAGGATTTTATGGTAATCATTTCTATAGTTTACAAGTTTTTTTCTTTTTTTTTTTTTCCTTTTAGAGTTCAAATAAGGGAGGAGGGAATCCAACTTTCAAATATTTAAGAAGTAATATTATTTTGACCAATCGAGCTATGTTCCTGTATTATTCAAGTTAATTGCAACAACTTCTATAAATTAAAATTTAGTTCAAATTAAAAATGGGAGGATGAGGATAATTTTTGTAATTTTCTCTAAAACTATTTTATCATTTAAAATAGCTTCTAGAAAGTAAGTAGTTGAAATAGTTTAACAAAAGGCCTGATCACCTAATCCAACATTAACTATAAAATAATCTTGAAAAGTTATCACGGATTACCACCTATCCAAAACTACTTTTCTCCTAAAGAATTGGATACTATTGTCTAAATTAAGTTCACTAACAAATCAGCATAATTTAATTTAATCCTAATCGTTTGTAAGTGTGAATGTCTCATAATTAAATTTATTTTCATGATATTTTATTCCTCATCTTACATCATGAATGATTGGCCGGTAAAATACACGTCATCACTAAATTCAAATAGATAGAAAGAAGTACAGAGAGCATGCCTTAAGATAATACCCGTTCGGACCGAAGTCGAACTAAGTGCTTATTGTGCAGGGTCTGTTTCGATGGCTTGCTCACGTGGCATTTAAACCGTTTTCCCCAACTAAGTAGGCAGTTTCCCACTTTCACGAAACAGAAACCGCAAATTCAATGAGAAGTTTCTCTTATTCCCAAGAGTTACTTCTCATCTTTTATAAATACTAGTGGAAAGAAAATAAAAGGGAGGTGAAAACTAATTTATTTTTCCTTATCTGTTATTATTAAGGGGCAGAAGGACTAATTAGATTTTCGGAGTGTTAATGCATCAATTGATTTCATTTCCATCAAAATATGCGAAGACAAAATAATTTAAAGATAATTACATTGATTTTATTTTTGTTATTGTTTTGCACGATGCCATCCATAGGTAGGTGTATCATAATTAAATAAGTTCCCACTAATTGACAAATATGTAAAGATTTTACTTGATTTATTAATTTATTTTATTTTTATTTTTTTCAGCATAAGTTGATCAAAACAAGGCACAAAACTTTGTCCCTTCTACATGATTAAGCTCCATGTAATGTGTGTCTCAAGAAAAAAAAGAAAAAAAAAAAGCTCAATGTAATGTGTAACATGCCAATTTGGTAAATATTCTAAAATAACATTTTACCTAAATAACAGATATTTATTGTTAAATTACATTTTGAGTTTGTGTATTTAAACTTTGGTTTCAATTTTATCTTTACATGTGCTGTTTAAAGTTTCATTATATCGTCAGGATTATATTCTTGTAGGAGTTGCAAAAATTCAATGAGTACTATTAGTTGTACTTTAATTATGGTCGTCATTTTTTCTCTTTGTCCAACTAAAATAAGAATTTCAATACCTAATCCAACTCATATCACTTGTCAAGATATTCAAATAATGGATAAGAAATGTGGTGCCGTGGAGCTTATTTGTCCATCTACAAACAAGCAGAGTTTCTTTTCCTTATGAACAACGACAGCGACATATTTAATCAAAGCATAATAACATTTGATAAGGTTGTTTAAAGGTAAGAGATATATCATTGATGAACTTCCATTTAACAACTACAATTATGACCAAATACATGTCCAAATTTGAAAAACCAAACGAAGGATGAATCACAAAGTTATTGGTTGAATTGGGGCATGGGAAATTTGATGAGAGATTTATTAGACATGAATATGAATAGGGTTCAGAATCACAATGGATATGCTTCAATAATGGAAGTCAGAGCAGGAAGAGTAACGAGTTTGTAGCGACGGAATCCTGCTTCCTCCAATATTTTCTTCCACTCCTTCTCTGTCCTCTCTTTTCCATTGGTATGCGCCAACATCAGCAGATCAAAGTATAAACGAGTGTCGTCAAATGCGCCTTCTCCCTCCGGATTCAGCACCACTTCCACTATGATCACTTTCCCTGTTTTCTCCGGTATCGCCTTCCTGCAATTCTCCAGAATTCTCACGCACTCCTTGTCGTCCCAGTCGTGCAGTATCCACTGCACCATTCACCAATTCAACTCATAATTATACCAATTAATGGATGGAATTCATTGATTAGTTTAATGGATCACCTTCATAAAAATGGCGTCGGCCTTGGGAACGCTCTCAAACATGTCGCCTCCCACGTGGGTCACCCCTGGGTACGCCGTCGCCGTGCTCACCACGTGCGGCAAGTCGTAGTTGATGCCCTTCATGTGGGGGTACGCTTTCACGATCTCCGACACGGCGCCCCCGATTCCGCCGCCGACGTCCGCCAGCGACCCCACCGAGTTGAACCCGTCTTTGTAAACAGAGAGGATTGCGTTAATGACGACCTTGGAAGTGGAGGCCATGGCGTCGTTGAACAATTGGTTGAATTGGGGGTTTTTGGAAGCGAAGCCCCAAATATCGTGGCCGTTGGCCTTCTGGAAGATGTCGCCGCCTTCTTTGACGCCTTCAGCGAAACAGTGCCATGGGTCGACGAGCCAGTGGTGAAGCTCGGCGAGTATCATGGGGGCGAGGGTGAGGTCGGAGTCGCGGAGGAGCCACCGGGAGGAGTGGGTGAGGCCGTAGAGGGTGTCGCCGCCGTCGGATGGGTGGTGTGCGGCGAAGATGTTGCGGCGGACGAGGAGTCTCATGATGCGAGCGAGGTAGGAAATGTTTGGAGAGGCAGAGGAAGAAGCAATGGAGGAAGCAATCTGAGAGAGAGTGATGGGAGAGCCATGAGAGTTAATAATGTCAGCTAATTGAAGTTGAACGGCAGATTTCAAGGCCATTGAATCTGCAAAACAGAGCATATATCTCCATATGTCTGCTTGCCCTCTAAGCTCTGCCTCTGTTTCTTTTGCTTCTTTGGCTTCCATCTCTCTCTCTCTCTCTCTGGTTCTCCTTTCTGGAAAGAATGAATTAGGATTTATAGATGGAGTGGGTGTAATGGGGTGACATTCACATAGGGTGACAAATCAAATATATTTTTATAATTGCCTTTTCAAAGTCCAAATCCAAAGGGTATTGAAGTAGTTTCACTTCGTGTATATAATGTGGAGCAGAGAACGACATCATGAATCGGATCTAAGATGTTGTGACGTGGGGTTGTTCTCTGTCTCAAGTGCTTGGGATGCCCTTCGTCTTACGGGCTCTCAAATGCTTTGATATCCCGTGATCTAGTTTGTTGGTTGTATCCCTAAATATCAGTTTTTGAGTTGGTTGAATGTTCATAATCGTTTGTCGACTCACAATTGTATACATTGTTAATGTCTTACTCTAATTTCTTGTGATCTTTGTTATGATGAAATTGAGACTCGGGACCATCTCTTCTTGGGGTGCATGTTTAACAAATTTGTCTGGGGTGGTACGATTGCATTATTCGGCTCCTTGCATCGTGTTTGCCTATGGGATGTAGAGCTAGCATGACTTTATTGCATTAATATAAGTTGTTCACCTTGATGTAGAGTTTGGAGGATTTCTTGGACGGTCTCTATTTTTCATATTTGAAGAAAACATAACTTGAGGATTCATGGGAGTGCTTCTCATCGGACTCCAGTTGTTAGCATACTACTTGACGAGATAACATTTGTTCTAGCCCACGATGATAGGGTCTGCTTAAGATTTATCTACACAAATGAGTTATATTTTGTCTAGTTCATGAGGTATGTGTTGTTTCTTTTATTGTTGGCTTTTTTTAGTGGTGTTTTTCCAGCTTTATTAGCAGGTTTATTTGTTCCATTTATATCTTGATCTTAGAGTGAGATCCATTTTTTTTTTTTTTTTACAATATACTTAATCTTTGAAAAAATAAATCTTCTAAAAGATTAGTGGTCGATGTAGATTGGAAAAATTTATGTTATTGGAGTATGGATATTTGTTCCACTCATTGTCTATTATGTTACATCGAATTAAAGTTGATGTGGAGGAAGGAATTGTTTACGAAAGTAAAATAATATAGTAGTCAAGTATTGAGTAACCAAATATTATAAGGCAAAATAATATAGGAAAGACCAAAATGATATTTTTTGAAATTTTAAAAATTTAAATAGACATTTGGAAAGTTAGGAACCAAAATAATTAATTTTTTCTAGAGTTTGAGAGATCAAAATAGAATGTAACTTAGCACTACTAATATGGTATTTAAACCAACATCAAACATAGTTTGTTAATTGTCTTTATATATTTTATTGATAATTTTAAAATCAAAATATGTTTGGGAACCTTTTTTTTCTTCTTTTTTTTTAAGAAAGAAAAGAGCTAAAATTTATAAGTTAGAGAGGTAAAGAGACATTAGAGAGTCACATTTTTTATTTTTTATACATACAAAGTAACATTTATTTCTAGAACGAGGAGATACAAAATAAAAAATTTACGAATATATTAGACACAAATCTAAAAGTTAAAAGACTAAATTTACCCCTGATGTAAAAGAGTATAAGTTGGTAGATCTTGTAATCTTTGAATATCCTCCATTATTGGAGATAGCTCTAACAATTTTACGAGTATCAAAAAGTTTTAGTAAATCCATCATATCAATACAAATTTTGGGTGTTGAGATTGATGAGCAACGTGAGATTCCTACAAATTCGAACAGACAGATATAATGTTATAAACAAGAGTTAAGGATTAAGAATTGAAAAGATAACGGACCTAACAAGGATTTATAATAGACATGGACTGTCTGTCTTATTACCAATTGATTTTGAGATATAGCTCGTAAACATTGATAACTATGGCTAGATGTAGCTAACTAAAGTGTGAGACATATTTTTAATTATTAGCGATCCTATCTTTCAAATGGGCTATGGGAATATTAACAGATCACAGGGGCTTTCTGAATCTTCTGATGTAGCAAAAAACTGATGAGCTGGGTTGATCTGTTTCGGGAGAATTGTGTTAAAAGCCCAAATATAAATAGGCTTAGGCTGAAATCATGGACTGGAGACTGGATAAACATAAGCCAATCGAGGCTTCAAAGTTGAAACAACTACAGGAAAGAGCCTAAATCTGGAATTTACTGTTCTACTCCATCTTCATCTTCACAGGCTATTGGAGTAGGATCTGATGATATAACAAATTACCTAATTTATTATGGTTTATTAAAGTTCTTCCATCAAAACGTATGAGCTAAAGTAACAAACAAGTGATATACCTAAGTTCAAATCCAACATTTGATTAGCGTTAATTGATACTTGTTTCTGACCAAGAAACTATGAGTTCGTATCATCTACCTTCAACTCGTACAAACTAATATTTTTCTTTGAAACTATTTTAAGTTTTGCTTAAGGATAAAAGGTCAGTTGTTTTTTTTTTTTTCTTTTTGAGAAAAAATCAATTTATACTTAATATTAACAGAATATCAGAGGAAAAGGTTGAAATCAAGCGTGGTAGCTACTTTCATCAAAATTGAGACTTTGGAGATTTAGGAGCAATCTTTCTTAATATTTTGATACGAACATGGGAGAAGAATAATTGTTATTTAGGTCATTTTGAGATGATATAAAATGGAATGTAGATATTATTTTCATCAAAAGAGTAAAATTATCTTGGAGTTTGGACACTGCTGATAAATTCTAGTCGGAAATATTTTCGGTTATTTTTTTTATGATAACAAAATTTTTAGACTCAAATTCAAACATCGTCTGAACATTCTATTATTTGCATGAAACAAATATGACCATGACTATTTGAGCTTTTTTTTTTTCAAATCAACTCACAATTATCGAAATAACATTGTTATTCTCCCAAAACCCTATCAAAATAGTTAGAAAAATGGTCACCTCCCAAGACCTAAAGTAGAGAAAAATAGAGGGAAGAACAAAAAAAAAAAAATCGTCGATATTTGACGAAACGTGCTATCACATACTTTGATTCTGACATTTTCCTCAAATATTTTGCTAATGTCACATTTAGAGAAGCCTTCACAGCGTAAATTGGTTCTCTTACGAAAATTTAAGATTTTAATTATTACAATTATCAATTAAAGCTAACTTAGGGTTTTAGTTGATTATACTCCAAAATTTTGGGTTTTTTTTTAATAACCGGAAGCGATAGCTCTTTTTAAAGAAATTCCGTGTACTAATTATAAACGTAATTGCACTTGCACCTTTCCATCTCCACCTTTAACAAAAAGAAAAATTTTGACTTATCTTACTAACTAATATTAACTATTTTTTTTAATTATAATAAGTGGGGTGGGAGATTCGAATTCACAACCTCGATCACGGTATTTACTGATGAGTTAAGCTCGTCTTAGCAAGCACATGACTTTTTTAAAAACAAATAAAATATTTCTGTATTTTTCTCTTCTATTCAACAAATGATGATGCTGGTCCTTGAGAAAAAATGAAGTGTACTGCATTGAGAAGAAAATGCAGACAATCTCTCTCTAACACACACAGCTGCATGCACAGTGCACACTTCTAATACTATTAAACTACAAAGTGCTGATACTTCACATGGGTTGCTTTGCTTAACTCCCACTTCTCAATTACTATTTAATCCAACTCCATTTATAAATGGAAATTACTTACATTCTCAAAAACTCTCTATTTTCGTATTTTGATTGTAAACTTTCAATCGTCGTGAGTTACTCACAAGGATTTAAGTATTCTTCTTTATAAATCTCAATTCTCTCGTCTCTCTCTAAACAACTAAACCCCACACACAGAGATGGAACCCAAAGAAGCAAATGAAGCAGAGGCAATGCTTAGAGGGCAAGCAGACATATGGAGATATATGCTCTGTTTTGCGGATTCAATGGCCCTCAAATCTGCCGTCCAACTTCGCTTAGCTGACATCATCAAATCTCACGGCTCTCCCCTCACTCTCTCTCAGATTGCCGCCTCCATTGCTTCTTCCTCTGCCTCTCCAAACATTTCCTTCCTCGCTCGCATCATGGCACTCCTCGTCCGCCGCAACATCTTCGCCGCACACCACCCATCCGACGGCGGCGAAACCCTCTACGGCCTCACCCACTCCTCCCGCTGGCTCCTCCGCGACTCCGACCTCACCCTCGCCCCCATGATACTCGCCGAGCTTCACCCCTGGCTCCTCGATCCATGGCACCGTTTCGCCCAAGGCGTCAGAGAAGGCGGCAACCTCTTCCACAAGGCCAACGGCCTCCATTTCTGGGACTTCGCTGCCAGAAACCCCCAATTCAACCGATTGTTCAACGACGCCATGGCCTCCACTTCCAAGGTCGTCATTAACGCAATCCTCTCTGTTTACAAAGACGGGTTCAACTCGGTGGGGTCGCTGGCGGACGTCGGCGGCGGAATCGGGGGCGCCGTGTCGGAGATCGTGAAAGCGTACCCCCACATGAAGGGCATCAACTACGACTTGCCGCACGTGGTGAGCACGGCGCCGGCGTACCCAGGGGTGACCCACGTGGGAGGCGACATGTTTGAGAGCGTTCCCAAGGCCGACGCCATTTTTATGAAGGTGATCCATTAAACTAATCAATAAATTGCATCCATTAATTGGTATAATTATGAGTTGAATTGGTTAATGGTACAGTGGATACTGCACGATTGGGACGACAAGGAGTGCGTGAGAATTCTGGAGAATTGCAAGAAGGCGATACCGGAGAAAACAGGGAAAGTGATTATAGTGGAAGTGGTGCTGAATCCGGAAGGAGAGGGCCCATTTGACGACACTGGCTTGTATTTTGATCTGCTAATGTTGGTGCATTCCAACGGAAAAGAGAGGACAGAGAAGGAGTGGAAGAAAATATTGGAGGAAGCAGGGTTCCTTCGCTACAAACTCCTTGCTCTTCCTGCAATAACTTCAATTATTGAAGCTTATCCTTTCTAAATTTAGAGGATCTCTCAATGTATTACTTCTGGTTTAGTCGTAAGATCCTCCATTTTTTTTGTTTTAATATATTTACCTTTGAGAAGGGAAAAAAAAACTATTCAAAGATCTCGTTGTATAAGGTTTAAAAAAATTTAACTTTAGTTTGAATGATAACTTATTTTTAAAAATTTCATCTGGCGTCTTTGATAGAAATTCTATATGGTAAGTTATTGGTAGAATGTGATGGATCAACTACATGACACATTCTTTTATTTGTCTATTAGTGAAAATTTATTTAGGGCCACTTGTATATATCACAAATTAATGCTAAATATAGCGATACCATTTTGAATTTGTAAATATATCAATAAATAAATAATTAAAAGCCCAAACTCATTTATAAAATAGTTTTGAAATGTCTATCAATATATTGTTGATATATATCCATAGATTCTATCACTAATAGATGTTTATCAGTGATAATAAATATTTATCAATGATATATCAAAACAAAAGATATTACGTAAAAATATCTAACTAGATACACGAAAAATTTATAAAAATATTGTCATATTTAAAACATTATAATCTTATCACTATACTAAATTCACTAAGAGGAACGGAATTCTATGATCCATGCCCCGCTACGAAACAAGCTATTAGAGGAGACTTGTGAGCCCGTAACAAACCAAAAGCTTACTTCTATTCTTATCCTTGAATTTTCAAAACCTCCATTTTTGTGGTAGCTAAATTCTCAAGTTTTCCCCATCTTAATTTTTAAACTTTTCTGAAAATTTAAAAAGTAACAACCTTGATGTTTACTTTTATTCTACTTTACTTTTAATACATGAATTGTATAACTTTGTATATATATGAGTGACATGTTAATATATGTTTAAATTCAAATTCAATAAGTTAGAGACGAGTATTAGGTAAGCTAAACAAATATTATATGTCAAATAGTAAAATAAAGATCAAAATAAAATGTTTTTAAAATTTTTAAGAACTTAAATAAACATTTTAAAAGTTCGAGAACTAAAATAATGAAATTTTAAAAATTTAGAGACCAAAATAGAACTAACCCGAAAGTGGGAAGACCTAAATGGGATTAAAACCAAAATTTTCTCTTTGAAAAAATATAAGACCAAAATATGTTTCAGAACATTTTTTTCTTTTTCTTTTTCGTTTTTTTCTTTGGGGTTAATTTATAAGTTAGAGAGGTGAAGAAGATATACAGCAGCAGCAGCATCTATTGCTCAAAAACCATGATACAAGTACCAGTACGAAAATCCAATACAACAAGAGAGGTGACTTCTCAATTGTTCAAACAGTCTGAAACTGGCTGGCATTCTTCAGTATATTTATCATCAGGACACCAAAATTACTGACGCAACAGATTATAAGCTGGTAGATCTATTATTCTGTGAATATCCTCCAGAGATAGCTCCCTTTCCAGCTGCGTTCTGGTTACTTGCATCACCTCCTGATCATTTTACAAGTTTGAACACTTCAATTCAACAATCTCCTATCTCTTCATATTCTACCATCTACTAACGTGTTCACAAAATCCTAGATCGATAAACGATGCCGATTTGACACATCAGTTTTTTTTAGTTCAACGTTGTACAGTAGGAATTCAAACATCGGATCTTTAACACAGATGTATGATGCCTGAAGTTGGCGTTTCCACATGAATTAAGCATGGTACATGATGTTAGTGTGTTGTGTGTGGAGAAAGAGAGAGAGAGAGGGAGAAGTAGAGAATACGTTAAACTCCATATAGGAAGCATGCATAGCAAGCCACTGGGCATCCATCATCTCGAAAGCAACACAGTATAGTATATCGAATGCTTCTTCATTTTCTGCCACGGGTAAACGGAGAATTGCATCGGCATCATACAAATTTGGCAATGAAAACATGTGTAGTATGTCCTAGTAAGAACCAAAATGATAATTAGTCGTACCTCCTAATAGTCTCAAAAAATTGAGTCCTGGTACACACCTTGGTTTTGCTGTACAGAATAGATGAGATAACAAGATTAACAGTTAAAAAGAATCTCAATACTACCTGGCAAAGTTAAACATGATCTCTGGCCGAGTAGTTCTATGAATCAAGAAGTTCAAACTGGTGAAAGTTGTGCATTTGTGCTATAATAATTGAAAAAAGTGAACAGGAGAGAAAATTGCTGGAAATGAGGGGCTTGTGTTTGGATTATACAGGGAATGGGATGGTAGAACCCAATGCTATAGCCTTTATATACCAAACATCTCTTCAGGGGTTACTGCATTTTATCTTCTTTACTTTCCTAGGCTTTATCCCGATTCGTTCATATTGTGCCAATTTTTAGCGTTTATTCTCTCCACAAACTTCTTGGATTCTTGATTTTGAAATAATTTAACGACCGACTTCTGAACTTATCTTGTTCTAACTTATCACATGGTAAAGAGAACCCTTCTAGCAGTAAAAAAACTAAGCTTGTAATAATGACAGATAGAATTTGGGAGGATCCTTGAGTTTAATAATTGCGTGGTGGGAACGAACCTTTCGCAGTATTTCAAGTTTGGTAAGTACTTTTCCTTTATTTCCGAGCATCTATTCTCAATTGCTCCTTGATTTTTCAGGAATATAACCTACAGACTTTGAATTGAATCTCATCTCATCGATACTCTGATAATGTTGCGCTGTCTTCTCATTTTGGACTATGGATCATTTAGGTCTTCTCCCAAATCATTCCCCTTCATCATTTGTTAACCAAATGTTAAATCCACTAGTAGGAGCCAAAATCCGAAAGAAAGTATTATTCTTCATCCGATTGGAAGCCCAGAAGATTAAAAATGAATATTGGATTTAGCAGAGAAATCTTGTTCTGTATTTTCAAACCTAAGGCTAGTAAGTTACGTGCAAAGCAGAAGGAAGAAAATAGCAGAAACAGAGCCAGTCACTTCCCTATAGGCTCTGCACCTCACTAAATGGTTCAATTTAACCATTGTTTAGCCTCCATTTAGCCAGCATGCCCTGATGGGATCTCAAATTTCGAGAGGCCGTCCTTCTCAGTACCATGCTGCTCGATTCGAAGGAAGCTTCTGAAATTAATTAACAGTGCTTGAACTTCTACCAACAATGCTAGGATTTTTATGTCGTCCACATTGCTTCTTGTCCAGCTTACAAAATGGAATGCGAAAGAAAAATACCGAGGTGCAAGAACTTAACATCTTGTTAATTATTGGCAATCTTATGTCCTCAATATCAAAGGTTCTTCATAATCCCTCCAGGCCAGGGGAGTATTAACAGATCAGAGAGGTTCTTTAAATCTTCACGTACTTCTGAGGTAGGATTTGACTCTTTTACTCTAATGATATAACAAAGTTAAAGTAACAAAAAAGTGTTTGGGTTGAAAAATGCAGATAAATACCTGAGTTTAAATCCAACATTTGAATCAACATAAATGATACATTTATGCCAGCAACAGCAAACGGATATTCCCATTCTGCTCTATTTCCATCTTCCTTCAATAATAACCTACGAAAAGATGCCTTCATTTTGAATTTGTATGTGATTAGTGATAACACACTCTCATTAGGGAATGAGACAGAGAAAACAGAATAATGTAAACTGGAATATTTCTTGGTGGGAGCAATACAACAAAATACGACATACCGGAAATGTCCTGGAAAAAAACAGCAAATTTTCGAGGGAAATAAAACCGCAACCCCTAAGAAAGCAGCTCACTGTGAGAAAAAAATTAATTTCAAATATCAAAAATAAAGTATTCAGTCAACATATGAACAGTTTCTCTCAAATTTAAAAACTAATATTTTTGCAAATCTAAAGATAAAGGAATAAGCTGTTCTAAATTTTTTAATCACCAACGATAAATGTAATTGCACCCACCCACTTCCCCTCTTTCCCACACCAAAAAGAAAAATGAATTGCTCTCTCAATCTCCCGCAAACATACATGTGCACGTGCATTCGCCTCACTCTCTCTCTCACATTCTCAATCTCTCTCTAACACCCACACGTGTATGCATGCACACTTCTAATATCTAATCCCTGAACCAAGTGTTGAAAATATTGTTTCTTATCTAATAAAAATAACATTTCTTTCCATGAATCTTATCTCGACAGACGACATCTACTTCCCTGTCTCTATGAACAAGAGGTAAGATAACAAAAATATATATTGAAATGTTGGCTTGGACCGTACCTAAAGTCAGTGGATGGATTAGGGCCCTGCCAACCCATTTCTTTCCATTGCTCAGATATCATCCCTTTAAGCTCAACATCTGGAAAGGCTGCATTCCACAATGTTCTTAGAGCTTCCTATCAAAATGATGAAAGATGGTTAGCTGTGGTTGCCGATGATGAAAATAAATCATAGATGGGGTATAACTTCCAACTATTCATGAGCCGTAGAATTGAAAGTATATGAAGTAATGAAACCAGAGACATGAACGAATGGCCTTGTTCAAATGGATGAAAACTGAAATCAAGGCAGAGGTTTTGGTCTATGAAAGCGGGGTCTTATCAACGAAGAAAATGCAGTGAGTTCATTGCTATGACAAATAAAGACTCATCTCACAGCACTCATAGATAATTTTTATAGAAGTTAAAAGCCTGAAAAGTGCTAAAACAAATATAGAAATATACTTGATGAACAATGCATGTCTCATCAAAAGGTATTTGCATCCGCTCTTGTAGCCTCTGAAGCCTTTCCTCCTGCTTCCATAAATTCCGTGTTAGAACGTATAGGCTCACCTTCATACCCCACCATCAACAAACGAATAGAACAATAATTTTCAATATAGATATATTTGCTTAAACAATATAAGTTCCCACCCAATAAAAATGACCACAAGTTTTTTTTCAAAAAATAAATAAATAAACAGAGGGCATGAAGAAATCAATCCGACACGGTATTGTCTGTAATCTATTAGGTGGAGAGAAATGGGATGCAAAGCCCAAAGCATGTCCTTTAGGCAGAGATGATTTAAGGACTAAATTGCTTACCTTAGAAGTTTAGATCACGAGATGAGGTTTTCCATCACACTTACAAACAAAAATTTAACCCCTTCAACCACTCAGATGGAAAAACGCAATATAAATAATGACAAAACGATGAGACATTAGAAAAAGAGGTACCATCACACCATTATCCTTATTTACCTGAAGAGGACTTAAAGGGTATTGAAATCTATCATTCTTTTTGTTCCCTGAGCGATTGAAGAGTCCTGTGATCCATGATCGTGGTCCAACCATAGCATTAGCTACATTTACCACAAACTAATTTGTGAATAAGAGGGTGACACTGAAACATGGTGAGCATATTAAAGCACATGTAAATTCCAAAAGTTCATCTCAACACCATAAAAAGATATTCAGACAGAGCTCTACTCACTAAAACATTGAGCTAGCTGTAATATTACATGAGTGGAATTATGTGACCATTCTAACTCTCCGTCGCCCTTCCTCCGTCTCCAATATATTTCATCTTCATCAACCTGTATAAATTTTCCACAATTAGCTTTCAGTAAAAACTAAAAGATTTGCAGAAAGAAATGATAATGCCATTGCCAGCTGATTGTTGCCAATCATAAGCATAATGGTTAAGTAATATTAAAATAATAGTGTTCAGTACTCCATAAGACTGCCAAAAAAGAAACAGTCATCGGAGTTTCCAACAGTAGTTGCTTTGTATGTACAGTTAAAACATACAAATAGAGAAGAAATGACCATTTGACAAGGACATTACACTATGTAACACTCAACCTTTGCACAATGGCTTGATTAACCATTAATCTAATTGACGACTGAAATTTAGTTTTGAGCATTGAAATATGTACTAGAAGAAATTCCAGTTATATTAATAGGCCAGAAGAAACGTGTATAAGGTTCCAGAAAAGGCACACAATATAGAGAACACGAAAAAAGATACTCCTCTTTCCACATAAGGAAAAGGAATACAGCAGAAAAACAGAAAAGGGGACATTCCCAGCAAATTCGAAATAATCAAGACATTGATTTCTCATTTCAATCGACAGACAATTGACCAAGAGAGACGGACAAAGAGATAATGATGAGTGGATTACTTCGTAGAGGGAAGAGCAAGAAGGAAAGCATTGTCTTCTCCTCCTGAATCTCATTAAGGGACCAAAATAAACTATGAGAGGCAATCGTTTCTTTAACTCGAAGCATCACACAACAGAAAAACAAAAAAATGGAAGAAATGGGCCATAAATAATTGCACCAAACTCATGCTCTCATCGTATAATTCAACCATAAATCATTCCTCTCTCACTTTTATCACCAGAAATGACGCACACATAGAAACAGAGGGGGAGACAAAAAGCAAAGCTACGCATAAATATAAATGTAGGAGAAGCTAAGAAGAGTGAGACTTTGAAAAAGAAAATAGAAAACAAAAAATGGGAAAGATTACAAGCGCAATTAAAGGGATCTTTTTGGCATAACTTTAGATTTGAAAAAAGTTGAGCAGAATTATGAGCGTTGAAAATTAAGGGAAAAGATGGAAGTAGATGTCCCTTCAATGAGTAGCATCATTAGAATGCAAGACAAAAAAAATACGAAGAGCCGACAAAAGGGTAGCCAGATAGAAAGCAATAGGCAAAGAGAAGAGTACGAACCCGTTATGGCATCTGAGGGAACAAGTTGGCGGTGCAGAGCGGCGGCGGCGGCGGTGGTGGTAGCCTTGGCCGTCCTGATGGTGGGTCCGGGCGGTGGGGCACCACTGGAAAGAGGTTGCGGGGAGGAACAATAAAGAAGCGGAGGAGAAGAAGAAGAAGAATAATAGATGGGGATTTGGGGAAACCAGTGGCAGTGACATCTCTTCTTCCATTTTGTGTTGACAGGTTGAATTTGCAATTTGTGGGTTTGATTTGCCTCTGTTTCTGTCTGAGGCATTGAAACCAATCAACTTCCTATGGAACTGCCTATTCCTATTCCGTAGCATTCGGGGTTCCTTTTTTTCCCCTCATTGTCTCTTCCCCCCCGCCCCCACATCCCCCAAGCTTCAAGCTTCAGCCTTAAGCTACAAACTATATATGATTTTCCCAAATAATTTCAAACGAATGCTGCTTCATTTTCTTATTTCTATCTACTGCCTATTCCTATATATATTCCTTATGTTACTGTTACACCCCTTTAATCAATTATCTTTCTTTATATTATAATTTAAAAGTGGCTGTTGTTCTACGTACTAAAAAATAAAAAATCCCCCTATATTTATGATACTAAAAGAAATTTTTAAAATTTTATCTTTTTAAGTTATCAACATTTTTACCAATTAGTTTTGTATCAATTTTAATTAATTATCGTGTTGTTTTTATTGGGTTTGTAAGATGATTGAAACAAAATCTCACATCGACTAGGGAACGGAATCATTATGGGTATATAAAAGAGGACAATTATCTCCATTGATATGAGACCTTCTAGGTGAAATCAAAAATAAAATCGGGATACTCGTCCACGTGTTGTACTGTTAGTGCGAACATAAACTAGCATAACTCAACGGTAAATGACATCATTCATTTTCTTAATGTGGGAGGTCCGTACCGCATATATATAAATTGGTTAGTTAAATACAATCCCACAGTAATACCAACATTGACACTTTTGTGGGAGAATAGGAAACATTTCTCCCAATTGTTACATGATGCCTAATACTAATACCAATAGAAATAATGATTTGATTTCAGAGATGAAAACTGAAAGGTGAGATTACTAGTACATGATAGAGAGACAGAAATCATGGAACAGGGAAGGATTTAAAGGTGCACATGCACTTGTAAGCCGTTGGACACGTCTCTGAATCTTCCACTGCAGCACCACAAATGTACCTAACCATCACTAATCTGCATGGCGAGCACCACCCACAAGCGTGTGAGCAATCTGGTAACCTCGACCCTGCAATTTTCACTGTCTCGCCTCTCCTAATTCCCTTCCCTGCAATCAAAATATCAAATTTACCATAACTTTATCCATTTTAATTGAACTGTTGAGTGGTAATTTAACGCACCTGATCTAGTAATGTGCCTGGCGGATGTTACTGTTTGGACTAGAAGGCCAACAATGACAAGTACAACCACTACATGATCAATTGAAGCCCTCTTCATGGATTTCATTTCCTTTTTCTTTTCAAACTTTGGTGAATAATCAAGAGGATGAAGCAAAAGGGCATATAAAGACCAGCTATGGACATCATATACCAACACATATTCAAACAAATCACAGGAAATATGATGGCCGGGAACTCATCACTTATTGTGTGGTTAAGGAATTCACATGAAGAAGAAGAGGAAGATGAAACGTTTAAGGGTAACTTCTTCATAAAAGTTGCCCCATTTTACCTGAAATTTGGACCCAAGTTCATGGCCTTGCCGTCTGTCGCCATTAATGCAGCTGAGTCTTGTAAAATTCTTCACATCTTTCAAGGCTTTGCTGTGAATTGTAATAAATTGTGCAGTGTGGCTGTAACAAGGTTACCATGTGATCTATCAGAGAGGATACTTCATAATCATGACATAAAACTAATGCAAGGATAAAAGGGAAAATTCTTCTTATCCCATATTAATGTCTTAATTATTATGTGAGATTCTTCACGCACTCGGGATTTGGATCAAACTTTTCCACTTGAAAAAAGCTTTTTCATTTCGTTTTCACAACATTGTGGCTTGCTTGTCAACGTTTGGCCACCCCACCACACCAAACATCCCCCAGAGACCGAGCTTGTCTCTGTTGGCTGTTGTTTTATTGCAAAGCCTAACTAACAAAACAACCTAAAATGCACCTATTCCTTACTTAGAACACTTTAATTAATTGACATTTTATTGGATTAGGACAATGGAATTGGACGACATATACCTAATCTACTCTAATAATCTATAGTACTAAATCTAAAAACCAAGAGAAAGTTGGGAGGAAAGTTGTTTTTTTTCCCTCTCATAGATACAATCAAAGACTTTCCACCTCGAATGGTCAACTGAGATGCCCATTTTCTCTTCACTTTCTGTGCTGTTGCTCTTTTTTTACAGCATTAATTTTCTCACACACACACACAACAAAATCCCAAGTAATTAAATGGTCTACGGGTGGGATCCATTATGGCCCTCATGCTTTTTAACTCCTTTTTGTAGAGGCTTTTCATATGTCAAATTTAGCAAAATGTCTACTTTTTCTTTTCCTCTTTTCCAGCTTCTATCATTTACTTCAATCACAAGCATCACTTAGCCCACCAGATGTTCCTTCTGTTCACGAGCATTTTTACCATGCCAACCTTAAATTTTTCCCCAACCAAATTTACGAAATAGAAAGATGGATATACATATATATATTTGCTTCTAAATGAGTTTCCAAAAGAGAAAAAAAAAAGGATCTAGCTGGTAAGCTTGTGGCTTGACACGTCATTAACATTTGTGGAGTGGGAAATGGGGGCAGGTTTCCAACTAGACCAGAAACTGGCTTTCTCTCCCACTACCTCTCTCTCTCTCTCTCTACAATTTCACACCCACTTTTCCTAAATACAACGACCTCTTATATCATATGAATCCAACTGTCACCACCACTTCTCTCACACTCATTTCATCGTCTTCTTCTTCTTCCTTATTATCCTCAAAATTTGATATATAATAACATGATATTCACACGCCCAGCTGCAGCTTGACTATCTTGAGCCTCGTAAATTGCAGTCGAGTTTTTGGCCAGACATGTTTGACTTCTTGTTCGGGTGGCGAAAAGCCTCAAAATGGTAACAAAAAGTTCCAGAATTTTAAAGGGTTTTCTTCTTTTGGTGTAATTTGATCACATGGGTTTGTCTTTTTTTGATTTGGGTCTCTCGGCTGGCTGCAGCAAGAAGTTGATCAAACAGGTTCAGTGCCGGCTCAAGCTGCTCAAGAACAAAAAGAGTGTAATTGCGAAGCAATTGAGAGAAGACGTTATGGAACTCATCAAAAATGGGTACGAACAAACTGCCTTTAACAGGGTAAGTCCAAATACTCTCAAAGTTTCCAACTTTATCTGGTTTAGATGATTCAATTTGTCCGGTTCAGGTGGAGCAGATAGTGAAAGATGAAAGCAGAATGGTGGCATATGAGATTCTGGGAAATTTCTGTGAATTTATACTCCAAAATCTCTCCTACATACGCAAACACAAGTAGAGTGATTTCTCAAATGAAATCTCATTAGATTTTGAAGCTTTTTTTTATTATCACCAAAAAAGATTGGTTTTTGGTTTCAGGGATTGTCCCAATGATGTTAATGAGGCAGTTTCAAGCCTCATGTTTGCCTCAGCGAGATGTGGGGATCTTCCTGAGCTGCAGCTTATAAGGAAGCTGTTTGGAGAGCGCTATGGTCGTAGGTTTGAAACTAGTGCCGTTGAGCTCAGCCCTGGCAACCTTGTAAACCGCCAGGTGCCAACAGGCTAACTTCATATTATACTCTGCTCTGAATTATGGTCCCAGTTATTTTAAGGCTTAAGCTAATTAACCACCCAATTTTTGTTTACAGATAAAAGAGAAGCTCTCAGCAAATTCTGTGTCAGAAGATGACAAACACAGAATGATCAATGAAATCGCAAGAGACTGTTTCCAACCTCAACTTTTAGCTCTTGAATACCGTTCAGACTGGCACCAAAAACAGGTGGCTTTGATTCTAAGTTTCAGTATCAAATGGGCAGTTAAATTTTTTATACCTATGTCTATTTAGTTTATATACTTTAAAAAATGAGTAAAACTACAAGTTTAATCTTCAATAATATTGTATTAAATAGATCTTTATATCAAAACAAACCTCTAATCTTTTTAAAAAATATCCTAATAAATCTCTATACTCTCAATTTTAAGTCTAATAACTTATGTCAGTAACTTTATTAATTTATTGTCATTTCAGGACTATGTTCAAAGTCAGCCACCACATAGTCCTTACTCCTTACCTCAATTATGTGTTGAATGAATTAACAATAAAAACCTACTAAACACAAAACTAAAAGTTGAGAACTTTCTAAAATCATAGAGGATTAAATAGAGTTAACTTTAAAGTATAGAAACATAAGCAAATTTGTAGTTTAACTAGATTCTTTAATACGCTCTCTTTCTAACTATTTTCTTATATAATGAAATCAATGAAACTCAGGTGGAATTCCCCATAAAACAAGCTATACATTCTGATGAGAGAAAAAGGGAAAAGGCACTGCTAAAAAGGGAAAAGGCACTGCTACTTCATGGATATTCAGCGAGAAGCACCTCTTGTGACACTTTGCCTCAGTTCCCTGAGGAAAGAATTGTTCATGTTGACGATGTGGTGGAGCTTTGTTCCTCCACCACAACAGAGGGAGATCAAATACTCTTCAAATTCAAGACAGCCGCCGCTTTCCCAGAGGAAGATTATAACGGTAAACACAGTTCCAATCAAATTCATGCGGATCCAAGTGACTCTTGGAGTGAGATTGAGAATTCCAGCTCAAAAGGCTCCGGCAAAGGATCAAAGAGGATCTCATTGAACAAGGGAATGAAGAAAACAGAGCATAATAATGAAAAGGGTAACAATTGCCATGAAATATCAGAACAGAAGCAGAGGAAAACAGAGAATTGGGTCTCAGAAGGAGCAACGGATAAGGAAATGGAATGGGCAAGTTTCTATAAGAAACCGAGGAGGAGGAGAAGGAGGAAGCCGCCGCCTTTGCGGCTGCCGTGTTCTGATCTGAAATCTGCAGCATACGATGTCTTTACTTACCCTGGCTACGGTTCCAACACAGAGACCAAGAAACTAAAAGAAACAAGGAAATCAAATGCCGTGGATAATGGAGATGATAAAAATGTCTCAAGTTATCCTGTGAGGAACAAAAAAGAGGCCCTTTATTTGAGGGCAGCAACATTCCCACCAAAACAGAGTCCTAAAGCGTGCTTTACTCGTACAAATTCATGCCCTTATAAGCAGCCTAGCCATGTTCATCCAAAGTTGCCAGATTATGATGATATTGCAGCAAAGTTCATGGCTTTGAAGAGAGAACACCTCCAAAAAAACACCCCCAAACCTTAGTTTGTGTAATCTACTTACACCAGTCCAAAAATACAGCTTGTAATTATAATTTGCAGCTGGGTATTCAAAACGCTCATCAAAACTAGCCAAAATGGGTGTTAATTTTACTGCAAATTGTACATTCGTGAAGTTGAAGGAATTGAATTATGAATGCGTAGGCCAAGACAAGTTACAATGGATCTGGCTTGTAAGGCAAGCGTGTGAAAGTTTGATTGAGTACAATGTTGTCAGACCCATTAGGAAAATGGCCCAAAATATGAGAGTGGTAATTAAAATGTCGTGTTTTCTTACAAAGCCAAGCCTCAGTTCTGACTTTCCAATCATTTTGATCAAGTTTCTTACCAATTGGCGCAAGACACCTTGCCATGAGTTAGCAGATTGCTGGATTTTGGGCCTTCGTTTGTCTGGTGGTGTGCCCCATTGCACACGAACGAACACAAAAATAGAAAAGGCAAAAATTGAACACAAACGACACAGTTCGACACCATGTTTGAAGTTTGAAGAATTCTATTCGAGAGCTATTCTCACGTGTTTAATGTGGTTTGTCAAACTTGTCCATTGGATCCACGAGTTCACATTTAAATTAAGGGTACGTGGTTGGTAACCAGAAAACATCAAGGGATTGAATGAAAATCATAATTGTATTCTTTTTCAGTATCTTCGGATATTTGTTTGGTAGAATTTAAAAAATTGCTCAATGTATGTTTAGTAATATATTTATAAACCGGAAGTAATTGCATACTAAATTTTTGTTTAATCTAAATTTATATTAATTAATTTATTAACATTTTTTTATGAATTTTGTATAATTGTTATTTTACAATGTTATATAATTTAGAATACATTATATTTTACATGTTTTAATTTTAACAAATATAAAATGAGTTTATGATATAAAGTAATATATTTATCAAAGTGTTTATCATTTTTAATGTAATTCCGCATTTTCAAAATTTCAAATTCTGAATTTGAAAACATTGAAAACATAAAAAAATCGTTTTCAGAATTTCTACTGTTTGGATTACAGAATCCAAAAATAGTTTTAAAAAACGAATATCCAAAATCCTATCAAACGCGTATGCGCTGAATCCATTTGATTTAGTGGATCTGAAAACAAATAACAGAATTCAAGTTTCCAATCAAACATGTCCTAAATTACTTCAACATCCAAAAAAAACTAAAAACTACTGTTGAGGAAAAAATCTAAGCAAGTGATGTGTCGAATGCTAAGGGGAGATAGCGGGACATGGGACCACAAGCGCGCCACGGCAAATAGTATGGGAGGCATGCCATGTGCATGCCGCAGAGGGTGATAGACCGATAGGTAGCGCAACCACCAGATGTCAGGGAAATCCGCCCCTGTTCGTTAGAATCCAATACAGTAGGGTGCGTGCCTATGCCTAAAATTGTCGTCTTTCCTAATTGGTTACGAGCGCCTATAAAAGGGAAAGACCCCACCACTGCCAATAGGTCTGTCATTGAACTCATAAGGTATTCATTCCTATTTTTTGCTTTAATTTGATGTCGAAGTCTTTTAGGCGGGACACCGCACCAGTGCCGAGATTTGTGGTTGTAGGCTCATTTGTTTCTCGTTAGCACCTCATTTCAAGAGACACATGGACCTCTCAAGAACTCGCCACCAACACCAATATATTAATTGGAGTTACTTGAGGAGTGAAAGAAGTGAGCAAATATATTCCAAACCAAAACTAAAATCAAAGGGGCGTATATGTTAGGTAGAACCATGATTGTTCAAATGGAGGTCAAATATTTCATTTTCATGGCATGGAGAAAATCAAAGGAGTTTTTCAAAGTGTGGAACACTCCATCACAAAGCACCGGCCTTCACTGTTCACACACTTTCTGTCTAATCGCAAGTGTAGAGCTTAAGAAATGGTATGGAATTATGGGAGCAGTCGGCAAGTTTTTTATTAATTTGGAAATGATTGTTATTCCAATTTTAAACTTTGTCAAACTCATGCATTGTCCTTGTCATTTGGGCAGCGAAAAAGCCCCCAACAAAACAAAAAGGACACCAACCCTTGACTTTAAGGGATCCATTAATCACTTAATTGACAATTGACGAGACCGAAGAAACTGACTACCACGCATTTCATTATGATACCTGTCACACGTCTGTCTCGAGACTAAAGTATAGTAAAAAACGAAGGAGGGACAGCTGCATACACAATATTTAGAGAGATTTCGATTAATTTTTAACTTCTAAATCTCAATAATTTTAGAAAAGATAGCTTTCATCGGCTCCTTCAAAAATCCTAGAATCTTGGAAGGTCGCACTTCTGATCTCAACTCTACAAACCTTTCTTATTAGTCTATGTTATAGAACAGATAGGACATGACATGTATAGTAAGTAAGAATGAATTAATATGTATTTAATGGAAACATAATGGAATTGAATGCATGGTTCAATAATAATTTCCATAACAAACAAGTTCACAAGCTAATATATAGGATTAAAAATAAGATGATGATGTAAAAAATTTCTATCAAACTAAATTTTACTTTCAATTTTGTAAGTTTCAAACCACACAAACCATGAGCTAATTTGAACTCATGATACTGTATCATAAAAGGTGTTTGATGTGGCTGCCTTGTTTAACGTTAAAGCAAGCAAACAATAAATAGTTCTAGAATCCTAAAATTACATTGTGGAGACATGATTCTACAAATATTCAATTTAAATCATAGTTTTCCTCGAATCATTCAAAATAAATGTCTGCTTCCATATTAATCACCCAACGTAAAATCTAAATTATTTTTTTAATAATACACAATAAATAGTTCTAGAAACTCTCTCTTATGTCAGGAGTTGAGATATTTTGGAGAAAGCTAAAATAATGAGCTCTTCCAATCCTGAATGCAGTGGTGTTTGACTGGGAAAATTTTTGAAAAGGAGGGACCAGGCGCAGGAACGCGACACGTGTCAATTTCTTCACCGACCTTCGTAGGATTTTTTGACTTTTTTCTCTTTTTTATTTTTTCATTTTTTGCCTTGTTCTAAAGAAGGGGGACTCAGTGGTCAGTACTTCCACCGAAAGCAAAGCCCCTCGCGGCTTGATATTTTGTTTAAACAATACGTAATAATCATAGGGTTTAATTCTTTATTTTGGCTAATTAAATTATACTTTTTGTTCTTAATTTTGTTTGGGTATGATTGTAACTACAATGATCTTAATGCAAATTTAAAGATGTTGAAAAACAAAACATGCTTAAAATAGGAGGAGGAAATTGAATCCTGACATATAGCCAGCAATCACAACTATTTATATATAATAAATAAATAAATAAGTGGTAGAAAGAATAAGGGATTATTTTGGTATCCTTTCCTGATAAGTTAGAGCACCTAAGTATTATTCTTGATTAAAAGAAAAACATTGTAGTAGGACAGATTTGTAACAGTATCTCCAAAAATGGCTAATAAAAACTTAAAAATGCAAAAGAAGAACAGTTGAAAGATAACTGCTTACTGATTCACAATCTCGTACTTTTCAAGTTAGAGAGAGATGGAAAGATGCGGCTTGGATTCGTGGGGCCAAGCATGGCCATTCGTTCAAAGGCAGAGTTTCGATTGAAAATGTTGTGTTGTTCCAAATTCCAATTTATAAACCCCTCCTCCTCTCACAGCACCTCCCTCACCCCTTTCATCTTCTTCTTCTTCACCTCTCAGTACACACGTGGACTCTCCTTCCTCTTCATACTTTGAAACAGCCTCCACCAATTCTCTGTATATATATAATGTCGAAGCTTAAGTCCAGTGAGAATCCCAACTCCAAGATATCTCCCAAAAATGCTGAATGCCTGGACGAAGATAAAGAGATTGATCACAGTGATCTTGGCTGGAGTTTTCGCCGACGGCAGGGGAAGCCACTGTCCGGAGAAACCTCCTTCTCACCTCGGCCCTTTAAAAAGATCCGTGACCCAGAAAATCATGACCCCATTCACCCATTGGATTCTACTTCTCATCACTCATTTCCTTTCTTCAATCAATCCTCCTCTGTTTCTCACTCTTCCCCTTCCTCTGCTACACCTCTGTTTCCTGTTGCTTTGGAACCCTCCTCCCAATTTCCCCATCAATTCAAAACAGAGCCTATGGCGCCTATAACTCATCACCCATCGCTTCCAACGCCGCATAATCAGCAGCAATTGCCAACACTTGCTTCAGGATTTGGCTACCCGCCGTATTTTATGGGAGAGTTGGCATCGTTCCAGCAGCAACAGCAGCAGCAGCATCATCAGCAATTTCTTCAGTACTGGAATGAGTCTCTGGATCTCAACTCAAGGGCAGCGTTTAGGCCTCCAATTCGGCAATTAAACACCACGAAGCTGTACAGAGGAGTGAGGCAGCGACATTGGGGGAAATGGGTAGCGGAGATTCGTCTTCCTCGCAACAGAAATCGCCTCTGGCTTGGCACATTCGACACTGCAGAAGACGCCGCCTTGGCCTACGATCGCGAGGCTTTCAAATTGAGAGGAGAGAATGCCAGGCTGAACTTCCCCGAACTGTTTCTCAATAAAGATAAAGAAGCCTCGCAGAATTCAAGTGGGGAGCTGCCTCCACAGGAACCAGACAATAACAATCTTGACAATGACTCAGAATTAGAGCCAAATGAGGCGGTAGCAGGGGACAACATACAGGATGAGGCAGAGGATGGTGCAGAAGGTGTGGTAAAGTCACAGGAGTTGGTTTGGAGAGAAATGGCAGAGGCTTGGTTAAACGCGATGCCAGCCGGTTGGGGCCCTGGTAGCCCCGTGTGGGACGATTTGGACACTACTAATAATCTCCTACTCCAGCCAATTCACCAAGAATCATTCGGATCCGATCTCCAAACTCAGCAACTCAACTTAACCTCATCTCCATCTTCTTCCTCCTGCCCCATGAAGCCTTTCTTTCTCAAGGATGAAGATTGATCCTTGGCCATATAAATTCAGTACTTCACATTGCAAAACAGAAAGGCTGCATATTTACCTCAGCCTCTGAGGGGGATGGCGTCAAATCAATCAAGGCAGTGCACTCGTGGGCCATTTCTTTTTCTTGGTTCCTTTTGTTAGCATCAGTTGATATATATGTCAGTAAAGCCACAAGATTCGAAAGACTATCACTATCACTCGCAAGCATGCTTCTGGTTTAGTTTCTTTTTTTTGGCTTTTTGTCTTTTGTTTTCTGTTCTCTACTGCACTGCTATGTTTAGTTTCAGCGCCGGCCAGCGTAGCAGGAGACAATTTGGTGATCTCCTCTTCATTGGGACCATCATCCATCGGGGGCTCTGTTTTTAGGCCAAGAGGATGGCATGGAAGCACAGTCTAATTTTCATATTTGACACCAACTTTAGCTTCCCACCATACTGTATTATAATATTTCATTATCACATAATGTATTTTTCTTTCTACTTAACACAGATATTGCTTAATAAATAACAATATGCTGAGTTGAATATCTCTTTTCTTTTTATTAAAATTTTATATTGTTTGACTGGTTATCTAATAATCAAGGTCCTTCTCTAAAACTAACATATATCAGCAAAAAGCTTCCTCCAAACTTTAGCTATGTTTGGGATTGCTTTTGATGAATACACGTCTCCTTCAAAACCGTTATGTTTTGGAGTGATATAAAAATGTTCTTGAAAAAAGTGCACAGTGCCAAAACTAACTTAAACTGATTAGGTAACATTTATTTTATTTAAGTGACAATTTCTTTATGTTTAGTTTACTATATAATAATATTTTCAAAACCAACTCGAGAAGAATTTAGCACACATGCCACATGGAAGAAACGCACGAAAAGCAAGTAGGAAAATACTTGGCTCCTTAACATTAAAAATGAATCTTGTCCATACCAACCTTAAATGTTTGACAACTGGGAGAGAAAAATGCAAAAACATGGATTTTTATAAAAAAAAAAAAATGATGAGTTGTCGATTTTTCAATGATGGTAAGAAAGCAACAACACCTGTAGGTTGAAGCTTGAGCACCATGACTTCTGCAAACTAGCAGCCTCTTTTTCCTATTTTTTGTTTAAACAATTTAAAAAGTGTACAACATAGTAAATAAACTCAATTCTGAAAACACTATCAAACGAGTCTTATCTTTCCAAGAGACTTCCAACAAAATTCAAATCAAACTAATCACAACCCTTAAGTACATATCATTTCAATCTTGAATGAGCATGGGGTATCCTTTTTACTTTTCCTTTCCCAATAATAAGGTAAAAAACAAAAACAAGGTAAGAACAAAGAACATGATTGATAACAATATCCCGATTAACAAGAAACAAAAAGGAAAATAAAAGGAAAAAAAAGTAAAAAATGTGAGAAGCTTTTAAAGAGAGAATGGGCCCCAACAGCCGGCCTATGAGATGATATCCATTTCTTATCTGTGACGCCAAGATAACAAAAGAATCGTCCTCGCTGATTACAGAAACATGACATTGGCAGTCATTATAATGTAGTGTGCAGCTGCAAATAAAGGACCGAAAGTGTTACCATATCATATAAATATAACATAGATTATTAAGGTCCATCATTTCTAATTGCAATTAATTGGCTTCTAACCAAATCCAATATTAATTTCAACGTCAAGTTCAAGTTCATTTTGATATTTAGGATTTACCCGCTAAGTTACATGTCTATGTTAAGACATAAGCATTAATGTAATTACACCTACTCATTGTACAAATAGTCATCATCCTTTCCTATTTTTCCAGCCTTTAATTATGACCCACCAACAATGAGTTGGTTTCACTGTAAATGCCGTTTTGATTTTATCCGTGTGCGACCAAAAAAAATATTTATTATGATTGGCATAGTGCGATTATCCTTTTAATAATCATTGGATGCATAAGAGGACAAATTTTTATCATCCACTTGATAATTACGAAGGTGACTATCACATTGTAACAATCTCTTCCAATAATTTCTCATGTGTGAGGAGGATAAAGATCATTTTTTTCCCTAATATTTTGAGATGAAAATTAACACACGTTAGAATCCTTTTAGATGGTAGAAAATTTTGATCCATCAATAAAACAAGTAGGATTTTAAAATCCTAAGTGGTCGACTATACCCCGATGTTATTAGGCAAACCCACGGATTCATATGACAAACGAATTCTATGGATCTTTTACTCCAAACGCTCTCAATGTCGTCTATATCATTCATAGGCATGTGAGAATCCTACCGAACGAATGATTCATGTCAAAAGACTTTTGAAAAAAAGGTCTAAAAACTACCATGTTTAGGTAGGAAGCAAATTGGTATAGCCTGCTATTTAGCCTATAATATTAATTAGGCCTTTATTTCTTTCGGAAAGGAGGAATTTTTTGGTTCCTTAAATGAGGACCTCAGAATTTTTTAGTCTACGTCCGATCTTAAAACTCAATAAGGTTGTGATTGGGCGTAATTGTGACTACTCTAAGCTAAGCAGATGAGTGGATTTGATTTGGTAGTGTAAGGTTTTTCCTCTCTTATCTGGGTCTTTGGCACAATCTCAAAAGCTCTCACCTTTAACTATAAGGATCCCATGGTGGAAAAGATTAAATAACATCTCTCCTTTTGAAAGAAAGGCTTCAAGTTGTTTCAAGGCAAATCTTCTTTTTGGAGCGTCTACTATAATTGTTAGGAAAAAAAAAAGTTATGAGTAATTCCTTATGGGTATTGATGGTTTGGGATATCAACTCCCCAAAGATGTCCTATTTCCTATTTTATCCAACATCCTAAGATCTCTTTTGAATTCCCAAGGGATGGGACCTGAATATCATACAAAGGGGTTCTTTTCTGTTCTATAGCATATTAGATTACAAAGAAATTGGAAGATCTTCCAGAGACTTGAACCCAAAGTCCCCTTCTCTGCAGATCACGACATAGATGTCCAAACTGGACCACCATTTTGGCCTTAACCTTACCCAGCTGGGCCTCAACTCAAATGGCCCGTAATTAATAGAATAGTCTAGACTAGACTGACCCTCAAAAAGTTTAACATGCAACCAGTAAAGCATATCTAAAGAGGAATAGTGATGAACCTGATTGGATGGAGGAGGCAAACGTGGCAAGTACAGTAGCCAGATCATTCTTTACCTCAAGAAGAAACTGATACCAATTTTTCAGCTTCTTCCACTCCATAGTTGCTCTAGCAAGAGTTTCCAGAGATCTGCTCTCGACAACTCTCCCAGCGGCTCTCCTTTGCTTCCCATGGCTCTACAAGCAGCCTCTTTTTCTCCCACGATTCCCATCCACAAACAGGTATATGCAGCTGCTACTGTTGTTCTGAAGGACACAGGCCTTTCAGGAGTTCCATTTTCACAACATGTTGAAGTTAAATCAAAATCTCCCATATTAAGAAATAAGGTAATGTGCCCATATTCTGTTTTCTGGTTTATTCCCCAGACGGAATTTTAGTTGGACCTGTCGAAATGTTTGCAATATAAATTATTCGTAAATATGCAGCAAGAAAGACTACCTGTTGGAGCTGTTAGAGCCCAGACTGCGATAATTTCAGAAATCAACCAGGCGCCACTGGAAGGAAACAAAACCTTGAGGAAAGGAAACGTTATAATTACAGGTGCCTCCTCAGGACTAGGTCTAGCCACGGCCAAGGCTCTAGCTGAAACAGGAAAATGGCACATAATTATGGCATGCAGGAACTTTCTTAAAGCTCAAATGGCAGCAAAATCAGCAGGCATAGCAAAGGAAAATTATACCGTTATGCATCTAGACCTTGCCTCGCTTGACAGTGTGAGGCAATTTGTGGATAGCTTCCGCCGCTCAGGTATGCCTCTTGATGTGCTTGTATGCAATGCTGCTGTCTACTTGCCGACTGCAAAGGAGCCAACTTTCACCGCTGAGGGGTTTGAACTCAGTGTTGGGACTAACCACCTTGGTCACTTCCTCCTCACACGGCTGCTACTCGATGACATTAAGCAATCAGATTACCCATCCAAGCGTGTTATAATTGTAGGCTCCATCACAGGTACTGATTGAGAGCATTCAGCATGACAGTTATTTGAACTTCTAGAACTAAAACATCTCCCAGAGAAAGAATAAGAGGATGTAGTATTGTATTACAAATTTTAAGTTTGATTCCAGGAAACACAAACACATTGGCCGGGAATGTGCCTCCAAAAGCAAACTTGGGGAATCTGAGAGGCCTAGCAAGTGGTTTGAATGGTCTGAACAGCTCGACCATGATAGATGGAGGAGCTTTTGATGGAGCCAAGGCCTACAAGGACAGCAAAGTATGCAACATGCTCACCATGCAAGAGCTTCACAGGCGCTATCATGAAGAGACGGGAATAACTTTTGCTTCCCTCTACCCTGGCTGCATTGCCACCACAGGCTTGTTCAGAGAGCACATCCCCCTGTTTAGGGTTTTATTCCCACCCTTCCAGAAGTACATCACCAAGGGCTATGTATCTGAAGAAGAAGCTGGGAAAAGGCTTGCACAGGTCAGTCCATGGCTTGAGAAACTATAGCAATTATCAAGTGAAATAATTAGATGTATGATTATTAAGATCAAGGGCAATTGACAGACTACGGAATGAATTTCTGACTTCAGGTTGTAAGTGATTCGAGCCTGAATCAATCAGGTGTATATTGGAGCTGGAACAAAAACTCATCGTCATTCCAAAACCAGCTATCCAAAGAAGCCAGTGACGCAGAAAAGGCCCGCAAGTTGTGGGAGATAAGTGAGAAGCTTGTTGGATTGGCTTAAATGCACCAATCCACAGCACCGATGGCTTTTATAGAGAAAAAGCTACATCTCCAAGTATCTAAGCTACAAAGTTTCAATGACATACATACACAAGTTTGTGAAAGTTCAGTGACATACGGAACCCTGAAATTTTGTTTGTGAAAATGTAATTGAGTTTCAATACATCCAAGTAATTATTTCTTAGATTACAAAGCTACCCAGATGGGCGCCTTGGGAGTAAGAACTTGAGATGTTTCCCCTCCAAGGTCTGGTATTTGAACTCCCAGTTAAAAACTAAATAACTTCTGTGGTCTTTCAAAGCGAGCCTTATAGTGGACAAAACCTCCCCTAAGATTTCTGTTGGCTAAACAAACTCAAAAGTGAGTCACAAAAGAATGGCATTTGAAAGCAATGTTTTCAAATCAGTATTTTTTTCCTAGTAGACTCGTGGGAAAAAGAAATACTAATCAAGCTTAAAGTGTTCTGGAGATCTTTTCATATGTAGCCTAATACCATAAGAAAAAAAAAATGTAGGTATACATAATTAGTTAAAAGTAGTCTCCCTACACACTGTTAGTCTGTGGTACCATGTAATCAGGTTAAGCATGTCCAATCTCAATCACAATTTAACAAGTAACTTCTGTGAATCATTTTCCAGACATTGCAGCAGATATGCCTCTAGTAGCAAGGTTGAAAAACACGCAGTTTTCCTATGTGTGGTGGGCAAATAAAGAAATGATCCTTCACATACCTTATGCCTTGGTACACTTTAGAATATAATTATGACAACGATCGTACAGAGGCATGGTGGAAATCTGATTAATTAGTGAAATAATTGAAAGAAGTTCCAACAGCAAATCTATCTTCTACAAACTATGAAGGTTTAACCATGTGTACAACACACCAGAATTACCAAACAAGTCATTGAGTAAATAGCTCAAAAACAGAACTACAGGATCTTCTTACAAATCATAACATGACTTAACCAGTGTACAAGGGGCTCGACAACCCTAGACTATGAAGAAACTAACGTTTGCTATTTTCAGCAGCACCCTCTAGCCCCTCTGAACTATGAATAAACTAGTGTTTGCTATTTTCAGCAGCGCCCTCCTCCTTACCTAGCGCAACCACTAGTTTTTTCAAGATTGCTTCAGTTGGCTGGTGGGAGTTCTCCACAGCCTTCGAAATCGTCTGCCATTTCTCACCATGCTTGGGTTCTGCAGCAATACATCTCTTCAGTACGTCCTTCTGATTCTCGTCGGTACCATGTTGAAGTTCAAACTTGTAGTACAAAACCCAGAAATCACCAACATCTGGAGCAAGAGTTACAGCCCTGTTTAGCCAAGTTCTAGCTTTCTCAACCTTCCTGTCATGCCAGAACAACTTGGCCACAGCAGCAATAACGTKTGGATCGTGATCACATTTTTTAAGTGCATCCATGCTCTTGGTTTTACGTTGTGGACGAGGTACCATCTCTATYGAGGCTGCCCACAGGATACCACTATTCGGACATTCTTGTAATGCCTTGGCCATCAAAATATCAGCCTCTTTCTTATTTCCATGCCTTAACTCAGCTCGCACCGCAGCAAGCCAAAGTTCAGGGTTTTGAGGATTCTTCTTCCTGGCCATGGTCAAAACAGCTCGGGCCTTGCTCAACCCGTTCATTTTCTCTTCGAGGTGCGCAAGAGAGAGCCACAGTGGTATGCAGCTGGAAGAGTGCTTTAAACCAGACTCATAAGCGTCCTTGGCTTTCTCCAGGTGTCCAACACGTTCATCTAACTGCCCGAGCATCAACCACAATTTAAAGAAAGATGGAAAACGCTTAAGCCCTTCATTCAGTAACCTGCTCTCTTCTTCAGCGTTGCCTAATTCTCTCTCGACAATAGCAGATTTCATCCACACTCGTTCAGTCCCTCCTCTTTCCCGAGCTTTAGCAAGAAGCATTCTGGCTCTTTCAGGTTCRTGATTCTCAAATTCAAGCTTGAATGCTGCAAGCCAAATTTCCTCAGAATTGGGAATGGCTGCATAGGCTTCTTGAAGAATTGATCTAGCAGCAGGGACATCCCCRGCAAGCCACTTCTCTTTGGCACCCATAAGCCACAGAACTTCAGCTTGTGGCCTGTAAGTGACAGCCTTACGAAGTAAAGCRTCAAGAGATTCCCTGGTACCGTGGCTCTTTTCAAGCTGTGCAGCTTTAAGCCATATACTTTTCTTAGTCAAGAACACAGTAAGTGCATGGGCATAAATTGCTCTGGCTGTTTCAATCGAACCCCTCTTCTTACACTCCTCCGCATCAGCTACCCAGGTCCTCTTCCTATCTTCTTCCTCAACCCCAACCCCWATAGTGTTATGAACAATGGCTTGGCAAGTAGCAACAGATCCTGCACGTTCAGCAGCCTCAGCCTCCTTCATCCAAGCCTCTCTATCTATCACAACGCCTACTCTCTGTAAAGCTCTAATACCCTTTTCAATAATCTTTCCAACCATGGTAGTATTTCCATTGGCTTCTTCTAGCTTGGCAGCTGTTATCCATATAGCCGGCTCCTTGGGCAGCTTCTCCCTTGCGCTATTAAGAACCTTTTTTGCACGATCATAAGTTTCCAACCTCGCTAATGCAAGCCACAATTCAACATGCAAAGGACAACATTCAACAGCCCTATGAAGTAGAAGCCTAGCATCCTCTTCATTTGCCAGCTCCACAACTGCCTTCCACARCCTGACAGAATCTGGAATATGTTCCAAACCTTTCCTCAGCACCCTACTCTTATTCGCATTATCATTCTCCAGTTTCGCAGCCTGCAACCATAATTTCACTGAATTTGGTATCGACTTCGCCCCCCTAGCAATCACGGCCTTTGCCTCATCCGGGCTAGCCAGCCTACAAGCCTCCAACCACACATCCTCATTCTTGGGACACTCTTCACATCCTTTCTGAATCAATTGCCTTGCTGCCTGAATCTTTCCTGCCACCTCCTCTAAYCTGGCAGCTGCAATCCAACCMGGCGGATGCTTTGGATTTGTTTGGGTAACACTCTTAAGTAATAACCTAGCCTTTTTKATATCAGAAATCTCTGCATCGCTAGTTATCTTCATACTCTTCAAATCAGTGAGATACCCTTTTGGGTCTACAACCGTCAATCCTGAGACAGAATCAGATAACCTATCCAACTTCAACGACAAAACTGTACCTCTACCCTCCCCGACGGCCGTCAAGTCTGTCACAGGGGTTTGTGCCCACGGCGTCTCCGTCCCGCCAGCTGCCCTGCTCTTCGGATCCAACGCAGTCACATGCTCCTGCTCCTGCCTAGCCTTCTCAAGCAAGGTATCCGGCACAGGTACAAAGCTCTCRAACCTYTTCTTCTTGTTCCTCAATGAATAATCCCCAATTTCCGGAATGCTTTCCCACTCTTGCGCCGAGACAGTATATAACTTCCGCTTTAGGTCCGCAAACTGCTCTGTGATTTTAGGGTTCGAAGCGCGGTACTTCTCGATCTCTTCCTTCAATCTCGCCTCTCTCCTATCCTTTCTTCTCGAGTCCATCCGCTTATCGATTGCCTCCCATACAGCATCGGCCTCCTTATCGTCCTCATCGTATTCGGCCGATGCGAACAACCCCACATCGTTGCCTTCGAATTCATCAAACTTCTGATTCTCATCATATCCTTTGTCCTCTCCTTCATCTTCTTCCTCTTCCTCCCCACCTTTTCCACGGCCTCTACCGGCTGGGGCGGCGGCGGCCCCTCCAATAGTCGTCGCGGACCTATCAGGAAGGTCTGGAGCAGCYCGAGCCGGACCAATATCAGACCTGGTCGTAAATCCAGTCGCACCACGTCCCAACCCAGCAACATAATTAGGAGGAGGTTTGGAATTCAGGAAATCTAATCGAGGTTTTGGGATAGTCGGAGCTTGCATACCTCCGTATAAGGGAACGTGAAGCGTTAGAGTTGAATTGGGTTGGACTCGAACATGGGAGAGCAACGTRGAATCATCGAAATCTGATAATATGAAGCTTTGGGATAAGAACAAGCGCTGAAGGGAAACGGGTATSTGGGAAACCTCCTCGATTGCCTGCTTCAGGTTATGAAGGGAAGTAGTGGCGGGGTTTAGGTTAAGGAATAGGGTTTTTTGGTTGGGGATCGTAAGGAACACCATGATTGAGATCGAAGCTCAAAGAGAGTTAGAGGTTAGAACAAATCATTCGAGGAATGCGATAGATTTGAGTTTCGAAGGATGAAAAGTTGTAACCAGAAATCAAAACCATCCCCTCGACGCATAGTTCTGTATAAACCCGTCGCTGCAAAAGTGAACTATGGATTATTTTCAAGCGCGGCCCTTCAAATGTCAGTAAAGTTTGGGCGTTGTTCAAAATACACAATTAATCTTCGTGATTACAAAATTTTTATTCAATGAAATTTTTTTTATAAAGATTTAATTAAATCAATGATTCGCTACTAGCGATAGTAAATTATTGATTTATCAAAGTCAATTTTTGGTTAATTGATTTTTATTATGGTGGAAAAGTCACAGTAGAATAAAATGTAGGTAGGAATGATTAAATTCTATAATTTTTTTTAGTACAACAATTTGGATACAAAGGATTGAACCTCCAACCTAACCTCAATAAATGAGTACGTGACAATTGTTATTAGTTATATTCATGTTGTCAAAATTAAATTCTAAATTAAAATGATTGTAGTTGCCTGAAATATGCATGAGTGTGTTAATTCAGGAAAATATCCTTTTAACATGCTAATGTGCTCTAGATTAGTTTCAAAAAAAAATTAATATGCTATAGATTATATATACCAATTAAAAAGAAGACAAATTATATTCAAAGCCTTTTGAGGTTTATTCAACAATTTGACCAAAATTTGTAGGATGCTTCATAAAGAAAATACTTTGCTATTTAATGTACGTAGAATAAATTATTTCGTTCATATTTCGATGAATTTCACTCAGTAACAATCAAATATATACTAACATGACCCTTTTTCACTTTCTAAATCACTAGACATGCCACTACTAATTAATTCCCTATTGATTTAATATGATAAAGTATTATGTCTCAATTGTGAGCAAAATATTAAATTTTCATCTATATGTCAACATTTCCATCAATATTTACGTATACCTATGAATTTGATATGTACATAATATTACATAAAAATTTATAAAACATCATTATAATCAACATAATATTAGTATAGTCAAATACATATGGGTTAATTTAAATATTCGTTATTTTAAATATTTGTTATGAAGTTTTATTTTTATAATTTTTGCCGACATAAAAAGGAAAAAACACGAACTTTGATGGCGAATCCATCGATTTGAAGATGACAGTTTTTTCTCTCTTCCTTTCTTTTTTTGAAAGTAAAGAATAAAAATAACAGCTTGCCAATGCCCACTTATGAATATGGTCAACACTTTAAATTCTATTCAAAGGTAAACATTTCGCAGATTAATTTTTCAGACAACCCCTAATAATATGCATGAACTAGAGAAAAAAAACAAAAAAAGGATAACGATTAAAGAAAATTGGGTCATCGGTGGGGAGCAGTTGTTGGTGACGACCGACGAAATGAAAGAAAAAACTGAGTAAAGAAAAGAGAACAGTTTCAGACAAATTGCTACAGCTGTTACTTCTCCGATTAGAACATTTCATCCTAATTAAGTATTGGGTCAATGCCAATGCCAATGCCATGGGAGAGACACTGCATCAGACCAGACCAAGCAATTTGCAATAAAATATCCAAATCCGTCCCTTTAGCTTTAGGGCGAGCTCGCGTGGGAAACGGAAACTTGGCTTGACGAAAAGAGACGCGACGACCCACTTTTCCGACTCTTTTTTCGTTCTTGTCTCCTCTCTTTCAGATCTCAACTCCTTATACTGGACTGCGATCCCCTGCCCTGCCGGTTCGGAGAACCATGGGGTTGGTCGGCGTCCAAGAAAATGGGGCCGGAGATTTGGGCTTTTCCGCCGTTTCTTTGGGACCCAAGAACAAGTACAAGAGAATGGATTCCGAGCTCCATGAGGATCACGATGATGCTTTGACCCATCGCCGTCCAGCCGATGCCACTTCAAGTACCAGGAAATATGTACTCGCCTGCGCTGTTTTCGCTTCTCTCAACTCTGTTCTTCTCGGATACGGTATGCCTTATTCTGTCGGTCGCCCCAATCGTTCTTCTCTTTCATGTTTTCCGGTGAATTTTCCGATTAGTTCTTGATTTTGCTGCTTGGAATGCGACATAGTAGGCTCGATTCGAGAGAGCAAAAGAATCTGGAATCTTCAAATACTTGTTTCGATTCATTGCCAATTGATGCGATGCTCCAATTGGTTTCTATTCTATCATCCCTTTATTGCTATTGCTGCTTAACCAAGCTTATTGGCCTTTTCAATTTAACTCTCTTAAACCAACTACTAGAATGGTCAAAATTAAAATCTCACCCATCCATGTGAAAATCTCTTTACATCGTGTTTCGATTTGCAGACGTGGGAGTGATGAGTGGGGCAATCATCTTCATTCAAGAGGACTTAAAGATAACTGAGGTACAGGAAGAAGTTCTTGTTGGGATTTTGAGCATTCTCTCCCTTCTGGGAAGCTTAGCCGGTGGTAAAACATCAGATGCCATTGGTAGAAAATGGACAATGGCTTTGGCTGCTCTTGTCTTCCAAATAGGTGCAGCAGTTATGACATTGGCGCCTACTTTTCAAGTATTACTGATTGGAAGAATATTGGCTGGGGTTGGAATTGGCTTGGGCGTTATGATTGCCCCTGTTTACATTGCTGAAATTTCCCCCACCATTGCCAGAGGTTCGCTCACTTCCTTCCCGGAGATCTTCATAAACCTCGGAATTTTGCTCGGCTATGTCTCCAATTTCGCCTTCTCTGGCCTACCTGCCCATACAAACTGGAGAATCATGCTGGCTGTGGGAATCCTTCCCTCGATCTTCATTGGGTTTGCACTCTTCATCATCCCAGAGTCTCCCAGATGGTTGGTGCTGAAAAACCGAGTCGACGATGCGAGATCTGTGCTTCTGAAAACTATAGACGATGAGAAGGAGGTGGAGGAAAGATTAGCAGAAATCCAACTAGCTGCTGGAATCTCCAGTGCAGAGAAGTATGAAGAAAAGGCTGTTTGGAGAGAGTTCTTGAACCCTTCTCCTGCACTTAGACGAATGCTGATCACTGGCTTTGGAATCCAGTGTTTCCAACAGATCACCGGCATCGACGCCACCGTGTACTACAGCCCTGAGATCTTCAAAGATGCTGGAATTCAAGGCAACTCCAAGCTACTTGCAGCAACTGTGGCTGTTGGTTTAGCAAAGACAGTTTTCATATTGGTCGCCATTGTCCTGGTTGACAAGCTTGGTAGGAAGCCATTGCTGTATCTGAGCACAATTGGGATGACAGTGTGTTTGTTCAGCTTGGGTTTTACGCTCACTTTTATTGGGAATGGGAAAATTGGCGTTGGTTTAGCCATCTTTTGGGTGTGTGGGAATGTAGCATTCTTTTCAGTTGGAATTGGCCCAGTGTGCTGGGTTTTGACCTCTGAAATTTTTCCATTGAAGCTACGAGCCCAAGCAGCGGCTCTTGGGGCAGTGGGGAACAGAGTTTCTAGTGGGCTGGTGGCCATGTCTTTCTTGTCTGTTTCTCGAGCCATCACTGTGGGTGGGACGTTCTTCATCTTCTCCTTCATATCTGCTCTGTCCGTTGCCTTTGTCTACAAGTTCGTTCCAGAAACCAAAGGGAAGTCCCTGGAACAAATAGAATCGCTGTTTCAGAACGAAATTGGATGGAGAGAAAATGAAGTGGAGCTTGGAGATGTTGAGCAACTTGTTGATAAGAATGAACAGAAATGAGCCAATATCAGAAGGATCACCAGAAGTCATCTCTAATATTGTTTTTTCAGGTTTGATCTGAAGAGATTTTTTAGGAAAAAATTGAAATAGATTTGGCTACATGAGAGAATAGCCTCTCTCTTTGATCTCTTCCACTCTTTTAAGTAAAATTTTTAAAATAAACTTATCTAGTATCAATTCATAAATTCATTTATATATCAAGTGAAGCAAAGATAGAATGAAGTTTTTTTTTTTGGGATAGATATAGAAATGGAGTTAACATTGTAATATAAGTACATTTATTATAGATTTGAACGTTAATGGTATATTTTTGTTCCCCTCAATATCTATAATACTATTAACGTTTATCGCCTTAATAATTGACAGGAATAACTGTCTACTTTAATTATATGCAAAAATCTAAAAGTTTGCCTGACGTTTGAAATCCATGAAAAGTGAGGTATAAATAATTTAACTCATCAATTTTCATATAATATCAAAACAAATAATTTGCCAATCCCTCATCCCTACTTTAAAAACAGATAATTCTAATTTTAAATCCTTCCCATGTATTTTTTTCTTAAAGAATCCACAAACGACAGTTTATATTGAGAACCTACCTAACTCACTTTTTGGATTACTGAAAAAAGAAAAAACCTATTTCTTCCATGCTTAGAACAAAGTCTATATTAAGAAAGAAAGATGGGAACTCCATTTTATTATGCAATTCGAAATACATACATACGTTCTATTCTCCATGCTTCGACCTTCCATCCTCAGAGATCGTATCCCGGAAACCTGGCCATGGCGGGCACAATCATGTCAAGAAAAAGATAAGCCATCCCTCCAAGTCCTTCAAACAAAGATTGGCGGCTGTCGCCTCCATGCATCTCTCCCTCTGCAATCAGCCTGTGAGCTCTATCAAGCAGAAAGCAAGCAAAGGCTTTGGTCCTGTATAAGTACTCCACCTTCCTTGTCAGTTGGTATAGCGACAGAAACACATAAGAATTCCCACTTATCCCATGACATATCCCTACTCGCTTCAGCAGCCCACGCCTCCATACCACCTCTCCCGCTTCCACTGCCGCTTCCACGAACTCTTTTTCTCCAAAAACCTGGTCACGAATGGAACAGTAATGTGTTGTTAAGTGCACTGGGTCAAAATGTCCCCGAGGGATGCCTGCCATTGAAGAAATCTTACCTGTGCTGCTTTGACAAGCGTGAGGGCGATTCCAGGAGCGCCATGGCACCAATGCACAAGGATGTCTCTGTTCCTATCTTCTTCACTTGAAGGATAGTTTCCACTGGGGAATCGGTTTTGGATCATGTACCTAATGGTGCCTTTCACGTCTTCAATCTCATCTGGCTTCAACTCCATGTCCATCAGAACATGGAGAATTCCTGCCAGTCCATGTGCAGCACCCCAATACCTCTCACCGTACCATTCAAACATCAATGGCGACCCTCCTCTCTTCGCCAGCGCCCTTCCTCGTCGGATAACTTCCTCTACAACTGCCCTCTATACAATTGATTCATTTACAAAATGTTAAATGCAAACACTCATTCACATGGACTAAGATGAGTTCAGGCTAATCATGGTATCCAATCTTACAGTGTGAACCGAGGCAATTGTTCCTGCACCGATGTATTTGTTTAAAAATAGGCATGCCCACAAGAAACCGACTCTTCCATATAACAACTCGTCCGGAAGATTGCTTGGTAGCTTAATCTGCCGCAGTCCAGAAAACCCTTCAAATTAAAAGCCAGGAACCAAAAATATCACCAGCTTAAGTGGGGAAATAATTCTTTTTACCTCATTAAATTCACCTAGATAGTAACTGAGCAACTGCTCATCACCAGCACGCTTTGCGGCCACAGCTCCAATAGCGCAGATACCAGCACGCCCACAAATGAAAGTCACATCCCTATCACCATTCCACAAAGTACTCTAAAGTCTAAAGACAGGTGAGCAATAGACAGTCATCCATGTTTTTCTTCAGGGCACAAACGATTACAGATTCATTTATTGAGGAACTTAAGTGCCATATCGTCTTTCATTTGGGAAAATTAATATCTCCATATAGGGAAGTGAAAATGAAATAAGAAATAAGAAAAAAGGGCAAATATTACGTGGACATGGAAGACGCTTGATCACAGGCCTTAACAATTTGGGCGCACAGACTAAGATCAATATGATTTGAAGTGACCTCATGAGCTTTTAACAGCAATAAAGCTGTTCCAAGAGCTCCAGAATAGAGTGTGAAATCTCGGACTCGTTGCCCAGTAACTCCCCATGTCTCCAAAACTATCTGAAACATTAACACAAATACCTGGTGGGCATTTCAAACAACACTCAAACCAAATCAAGATGTAAAACAATAAGATATTAAAGAAATACAGCTTCTTTGAGGTCCAAAGCCGCCCGTTTGAAGCGCTCTGAGATGATTGGGTAAGGCATTGAGAGGTCCTTCAGAAACGAATCTCCACTCGATTCTACAGCAGCTGCAGTTTCTGGTACGAAGTCCGGCATTGAGTTCGGAAAGAATCGGTCCCCCATTTCTGCTTCGGGGATTCCACCGCACCGCTTCTTCAGTTCGACGGAAATGAAGCAGAAAGCAGCCTTCGATGTCTGGGTGGCAGTCGCTGGAACTTTCTACAAAATTTTCTCGTCAAAGTATTTTATACAACTTTGCAAAAAAAAAAAAAAATACTCTTCTAATTGTGAAAATTTAATAAAGTCCTTTTTATCTCAACAAAAACAAAAAACAAAAAATTATAAAAAAAAAATTAAATGGCGTTGAATTAAAAAAAAATGGTGCTGACAACGCCTAAGTATTGTTCGTAAATAAATAAACAAAAAAATCATTATACAATAGAACTATAGTACTTTTCTAAAAAAAAATATTCTATAGTACTACAACTTTTTTACCATATGGATTGTTTTGTTTTTTAGACTTTCTTTTAGCAAGAAAGAATGTTATTTTTTTAGACCTGGTCACAAACGATTGATTATATCAATTTGTGTAAGAAAGAAATATAGTATATCAGTTAATTTTATTGGTAAACACAATCCATCCAATTTTTTCATGAAAAATTCAATCAAATAGAGTTTTTTTTTTTTTTTAGTATAATACATGGATGGGGATAGAGTAATAATTGTTCTTTTTAAATTTTGATAGATCTTTTTTTAAGTACAATGTGAGGGTGAGGGATTGAAACTTATAAATTAAGTCAAGATAATTTGACATAAAATAAGAGCAAGATAAGGTAGCTCATCATCTATGACCTATATTATTAGATAATCTTATAATTTAAGATATTTAGCAATATCACGCTCTTATCTGATGTCAAGCTACTTAACTTAATTGGTACAATTTTTTCCACAAAATTATACTTATTTAGTGTAGTTTAGTACATATTGTCATATTAATTATAAAAAAAAAAATTATCCACTCTCCTATTTATTGGATTTCAAGTCTTTAAAATCGTCTTTTCTAACTCTCTACACGACAAATCTATTTTTACCCTCTGCAATCTTTAAAAATAAAACCAAGCATTAAACCAGAATTTCATCGAATAATACAGAAAATAAAATTAAATAAGACAGTAATTAAGGGTGACAGGGAGCGGTGGTTTCAGTATCAGATGACAGAAAAATTAAATAAATAAATAAGGGGTTGAAGTAAAAAATAAAAATAATAAATAGGGGGGAGAATGCGACATGTCGTTCGCTTGAAGTAACTAATCGTCGTTTTCGTGGGGAATTGGGAAAGCTACATTTTGTCCATCTCTGCGATTATTCACAAATGCTTAACACGTTTCGCTCACAGATCCAAACACGTCGAGTTCATATCTCTCTCTCTCTGTTATGCCATTTTCCTGATTACTCTTTCTCGATCCGAACACCGCGTTCATCACCGCGAGAACAAATCCATTCGACTCCCTCGAAAAACTCAGAAATCAGCCCCCAATTCACAGACACAGAGAGAGCGAGAGAATTCACGAAAATGGCTTCCTTCGACGCTTTCAGCAACGACGAACACGACGACCAACAGCACCATTCGCCCACAACGCGGCCCTTCGATGACGATGACTTCATCGGTTACGACTCTCATCTCCCCTCCCAGCGCTACGACTCTTCTACCACTTTCTCTCCCGCCGACGATATTTCCTCCGCTGACCAACTCCCTCGCGCTCCCCCTTCCTTCTTTGAAGAAGACGTCGTTTCCGACGTCCACACCGCTGCAAACACAAATATTCCTAATTTGTCTGACGTATACGACTTCGGCGGTTCCGATCCCAATCCCGACTATGTCTCTCCCTTTGATCCTCTCGACGCCGATGGGGATCATGACAATGCCGCCGCCGCTGGCGTTGGTGGTATTGACGATGGTGGGATTTTCGCTTCCGATGGACCGGTTCTCCCGGACCCAAGCGAAATGCGGGAGGAAGGCTATGCCCGACGCGAATGGCGACGGTGCGTTTTTGTTATTATTTCGTTAATAGATACTGGATTGGTCTTAAATCTGTGATTTTATCGTTTAGGTGTTGTATTGGAATGTTTCCCCGTGTGTGGCCTTAACATGACTCTAATATTAAACCGTTTATAAATTTTAAGGTCATCTAAGCTGATGGATTCAGTTTTCAGCTGGAATCGAATTGAAAGGTTTTGAGATTTTCCATTCTCTTCACAATGACATAAAAAATTGAGCCAATAACTTAGGTTTTAGGGTAACCGGTGGTTTAAATCTTCTTTGATATTCTATCTAACCGGCCAGTCCGATGCGTGTCAATTTTAGAGCTCGAATGTTATATATCATGTTTATATAGGGGATTCTTATTTCTTTATAATCAATTGCCATTTAACTTATGTTTATGGTGCCTTTTCACCATTGACATAGTCGCATCCCTTACTGTGGAATCTCATTTGCTTCTGGAACTTTGATCGGTTAGTCATTTGTTGCAATATGTATGACATTGAATATGTTGGAGTATTTGTTTATTGTAATTCACCTGTGTCCAATACTGGAATGTCCAGTTGTATTATTGCTTTGTCTCTGGTAGAAGACAGATATTTGCTGCAGATTTGTCCTAACACCACGTGTATGCATAAACGTCAAACATATTAGTAAGACAAATTAAAAGAATTTTATTACAGTATTTTATATACTGTAGCAATGGGGACCGGAAATATTTGCTCATTTCTGTCTACTTGAAGAAGTTATTATCTGATTTTGTTAAGATTTGTGCTGTCAAGATTTCTTTTCTTACCTCTATTATGTACCCTTTTTTTGAGCTGGTTACATGGAACAACAGTTGTTTCAAGTTTACATTCGAGTTGCAGGAAGTAGCAGTTACCCGTTAGCACTATTATTATTTAGTTTCAATGCTCTGCCCCGTTGCTCAGTCTGAGCCAACCGAGTGGAAGAGGAATTGTTCGGGAACCATATTTCTCTGCTTTCTCTTATTTTCAATATGCGTCGCAATTTTTGGCTGTTGCTTAGCAATTTGTTAACAATCTGGAAACTTTATGATGCAGTCAAAATGCCATCGATCTTGAGGAGAAAGAGAAGAAAGAAAAGGAGATGAGAAACCAAATAATTAATGAAGCTGAAGAGTACAAAGCATCCTTTTATGAGAAAAGGAGGCTCAATTGTGAAACAAACAAGGCACACAATAGAGAAAGAGAGAAGGTGAAACCTCTTAAAGCATTTTGTTTTTATTCATATTCTTTGCCCTGCATCCTGTCAATGTCTCTTCCTCATTTTTCAATTTTTTTCGTAGCTTTACCTAGCAAACCAGGAAAAATTCCACAAAGAAGCTGACAAACATTTCTGGAAAGCAATTGCAGAGATCATCCCACGAGAGGTCCCAAATATTGAGAAGAGGAGAGGAAAGAAAGATGCTGAAAATAAGCCTTCAATAGTGGTCATTCAGGGTCCAAAACCTGGGAAACCAACCGATCTTGCACGAATGAGGCAGATTCTCTTGAAGTTGAAACAGACTCCTCCACCTCATATGATGCCGCCTCCACCCAAACCGGCCAAAGATGGCAAAGATGGCAAGGATGCCAAGGATGCCAAGAATGGAAAGGATGACAAGGATGCCAAGAATGGAAAGGATGGAAAAGATGTGAAGGAAGGGAAGGAGGACAAAGGTGGAAAAGAAGCAAAGGAAGGAACAGAAACCAAAGACGCCAAGGAAGAAGGGAACGAAGTCAAGGACAAGAAAGCATCCTCGCCAACTGCACCAGATAACACACCCTCATCTCCTGCAAAAAATGTGGATGCTAATGGTACACCTGGTCAACCCAAACCAGAGATTGAGGCTCGCACTGCAGCTGGTGCAGAAGAGGTGCCAGCTCCTGCGGATTAAGAAACTATTATTACTTCCATCTTATGGTTTTTGCAATGTGATTTTTTTTCTCTGTTCACATTTTATCACAGAGAATAAGTAAGTTTTTGTTACGGCCGTGCTGCATTCTCTGCAGCGTAGGATCTGAACAGCTCTTCTTGTCTAGACATAGAATTTTAGGCTGATTTATCATCTAAATTTGTCATCTCTCTGATTTGTATCTTCTATGCTTAAGAGCACCCAAGTCGCTCTTTTTACGATAAGAAGACAAGGTTGGTGGGTGGGGGAGCCTATCTTATATACTTCTTTGGTTACAAAGGTTAGATAAAATTAATAATACAGACTCGCAGTAGTAGAGTAGCCAATGCAATTGTTGTTTATTACAATACAAAGGTAACATCCACAGATAAAAATGATGGTTGAGCTAGTCACTGAGAATGATCAGCTTAACCAGGGTTACCATAGGCGTCCAAGAGGAGGTGACATTTAGTAGTTTGACCATCAATTTTTCATTCCCCTCTTGAACATCTTCCAATGAACGCAAAAGTTGGACCAACCAAGTTTGCTTTTTTAGGGATTGAAACTAACAGTGAGGAACAATCGGTCTGCAGGTCAAGTAGTTGAATCAGAAGTAACTTTTAGAACTTGGTTGAGATTCGTGTCCAATTCATTTCTACCTATATTGTGGCACCAGACTATCTGTGTTACAATTAGGGGAACTGAATTTCATGCCAAAGTGAGCAAATCCACGTTGATATTCAGTGGTGTTTGCAAGGGCATAATATTCAGACTCCATAGTTATCGAACCACCAACTAGGGTACTAAAGAATTATCAAGATGTTACAAAATATGGTAGTCAAAAACTAGCCGTTCATCACAAAATAAGGAGCCATATGTTACATTATTCGGTTGTTGAATATGCAGTGTAGGCCATAATGGACTGCTCTCCACAGCAAAAGTAGTTCATTTGTTACATGATAGGGGCCAAGGGGGTCAGTTTGACTCTTACTGCACCAAGGACATATGGGTGGAAAATCTTTGTTCCCATCTCAAGGAAATGATAGCATATTTAAAGTCACATGTTTATGTTTAATAACATGTCTAAATTGATTTATATCCTTCGGTTTCGCTTTATGCTTTAACTATAGTGGTATTTTTTTTACCATACAGATAATGAATGAGATTTGACCATAGTACCAAAATAAAATTAATATCAAAAGTTGGTATTAAAACTAAATGCAGGGAAACACTGCATCCAAGGCCCTGAAATGCAGCTATATGTCCCTACGTAGTTTGACTGAGGGGTCCAAATTCATTAAACAAACAACTTGGCAATACACACTACCACGCTCTCTCTCCTCTTTGGAGAGGGCTATCAATATTCAATAGCAACCACACTCAAAAACAGAATAAAAAACACACACAAACGAAAAGAGACGTCCATTGGATGCCATTTTGCACTCCAACGGTCACTTTTCTACTAAAGAAAACGGAAAAACGGCTACTTTTCCTGCCATGGGGTGTGGACTAAAACAAAAAGAAAGCAAATGCTTTTGTGCATAATATGGCCTTCTTTTTGTCAAAGCTAATAAAAAGAAAGAAAAAGAAAGGAAAAAAAAAATCAAAGTCTGCGTTTCTTCTCCTCCTCCTCCTCCATGTTTCTTAATCAAGAGAAGAAATTAAGGCGAGAAGTGTAAGTTGCCTTGGGAGACCAATTCCTTGGGATTATGTCCCTGGCCGAGAGGCTTCTTCCCGTAGATAATGTTGTTAATCTCACCGAGAATGGGCCTTTTAAAGGCCCACCAATAATGCACCAATTTGCCCCCCACACATGGTTCATATCCAGCCACTCGCTCGAACTTGCCTGCCATTTTTGTTATCATAACAAACACCACGAGAGGGAAAGAAAATGTAGTCAACAACCATCAAATCAAAGCTGCCTGATTTGCAAGAAAAATGCATTTATTTGTGCGTGTGTTTAGACAGTGAGAGATTTTTATAATCATGTGGGAAAGTGCATGCTTTTTCTTCTTCAAAGATTCTTCGAGTGGATTCAACTTTCAACGTGTAAAAGATCCAGCTTTTCCATCTTTTCATCTTAAATTATTATTGTGATTAAAGCAATGGAATATGCTTCGGAAAGCCCTATCAGTAATTAAATTAGCCAAAAGGGGTTCTCTTTTTATACTTACTTCTCTTATTTGCATTGCACCAATGTCCCCATCGCCATCCTCGAATTCAACCAGGAGTGAGAGCCAGTAATCTGTTGAGCCTTCGTTGACATGGAAGGCGATGTTCTTGCCTGGGTACTTACAAGGAGTCCTACGCATTTAGGACAAACCAAAAGCAACAAAAAAAGGTGACAAAATATAAAGAAGAGAGAGATTAAAACAAACAAATCATAAAGTGACAAAAACAGAGCAACGGATTCGTACCGCCGGTAAATGACTGGGATTTCGCCTCGGTTCCTGAGCTGCCCATTTTCGCCGGCGATGGCCATACGGCCGAAGGCGGCGCCGCTGAGATCGAAGTGGGTTTTGCCGTTGGAACAGTACCCACCGGGGCACTCGTCGGTGACGATTATGGTCACGGCTCGTCGGGAGCAAATGCTCTGGTCTAGACACTTCACCTTGTAACAGGCTCCACACCCTTCGCCATTTTTGAACAGCACTGGACTCACAGCGCCAACCCTGGCCTTTAGGGGCTTCACGTCCACTAGATTCCCATACCCACAGGCTCCACCTGCAGAATTACACCGTCAGATCTCTCAATTTCTAGCTGCTAAGAACTTCCATTTTTTGATTTGTTAACAGGGTTTCGGTTAGTTCAAGCGTCCGTAATCAATTTTTGACCGAGTTAACTCAATGGCTGCAACTTCTAGACAGTGTTTCACAAAAACTGACTGCCCCTGTCCCATTTAATTGACAAACCCTCTGAAGCACGAAACGCAGAGAACAGAACAAGAAAAAAAAATGTAGAGAAATGGGAGCGGCGTACCGTCGCTACCGTCGCCCTCGGGGCTTCCATACCACGTGGCGGTGGCCGGGAGCCAATGTAGATCCGGAGCACGGTGTTGGAGCTGAGCCGCCGCCGCGAAACCCTGGAGCACAGCCGCCGCAAAGAAAAAGGCCCCAAAGAGCCCAAAACCGCGGCAGAGGAGGACCGGCATTGCGTCTGCGTGGGGCTACAACAGTAGGCGGCGACACCGCTTGCTCCGCCCACAATGTCAGGTTCCGACGAGCACAGTAACCGAGAAAAACAGTTGAGGAAGAAGATTGGAGGGCTTCGCCGACAGTCTTTGTTTGAGCAGATTTAGAAGGCTTGGTTCGTTTATTTGGTCCGGGGTGTGGAGGGGGCGTTAAGTAAATATAAAAGAGTATCGGGGCCGGGGGTTTATGAAACGGGCCACTGATTTTTACTTTAATTACAAGATGACCCTGGTGTGGGACCCCTCGACAGTTGAGGCGTTAATTCCGCATAATCGTACGGAGACTGTCATAGACCTTAACGGATGAGGGTATTTTGGTCAGTTACAAAGTAATAGTTATTTCTACCGTTAACGTCGAATAATTTCTTAGCCTCAAATAGGTCACATGCCCTACTATACCAATTAATTTATTAAAAATATTTTTATATACATGTATATATATTTTTAATTGTAATATATGGAAGTAGGGTTTGAAACCTTGAAATAGATAGAGTTGATTATTTTTAATATCAATCTCCTAAGCATTATGCATATGCTCTAAAATCAAATCTTCACATCTTCCCTATATTCTTGAACTAAAAAGAAATTGGTTGAATATAATGAAATTTAGAATATGGAATCACAAATAGAAAACATTATTAAAATTAAGATGAATGGAAACATGTAATATGGGTGGGGATCCTCACTTCACCGTCAATAAGAGGTCATTTGTTTTTCAAATATGTAGATGTTCGACATGTTCATAATTTCAGATGTCTAAAATTTTAGATGTTTGACATCTTTGATAGACACGTTTATTTTATAGGATAATTTATAAGGATGTCTGAGAATATTTAAATAGACGTTTTGCCGGACTTATTATTGAGAATGTTTTAAATTTATATAATCATCCAAAAATACTCTTACAAAGATTTATATAAATTATACATTAATTTATTATGATTTACATCCAGAAATCTATGTTTCAAAATGACATCTAAGATACGTTAGATGTCTCCCGTATGACCATCTTAAGATATTCAGACATCTTATATTTACAAAACAAACGTGAAAATCTAGATGTCAGTTTAATGAGAATCTTGAATTCTCATGAAACAAATGATCTTTGAATAATTTGTGTTCTATCTATGAGCTATTTTTGAATTGACAAGGAATGTCATTATACTTGATCCTTCGTATTTTTACAATGGTAAGATATTGTCCACTTTCAGTATAAGTCCTCGTAACTTTGCTATAAACTTGATCACATTCTCACAATACATATTTTGACGTGGAAACGTGCAATTCATTATATTCGGTAGGTATGATAAAGGTTTTGTTTTCAACATTTTAAGAACTACTTTAACTAAGATTTCAAAAGACGCTCTTCAAAAGTATATATACCAAACATAAAAAGAAAAAGTTAACAAAGGAGTACAAATTTGTAAATAAATAAAAAACACGAAAGAAATACAATATCAAAAGGCCTAAAAACAAAAGAGAAGCTCTCGAGTCCTTTTCTAGTGTAAAAAACAAAGATAACAACGAACATACCATAATTAATTGGTGCATGTCATTCAAAAGGGTAGACAAGAGAAGCCCACTCAAGCAAAAAAAAAAGAAAAAAAAAACAGAGATATTGTATGCATGTCAAAATAAAATAAAATAAAATAAGATACTTAAAAGTGGGAGAAAAATTATATTTGTTTTTGTTTTGGTTGAAACAGACAATGAAACGGTGGGTGGGAAAGGCAATTTGGTCAGATCAGTTGCGTAGAATACGGCCACTGAGCCACACTGGAAAGTCTTCAAATATCAATAACACAATTAGGCAGTTTGCATTAAACCCAACAAAAAAATAATAATAATAAAAAGATTTTTTTTTTTTTTTGGGGACAAATAATCCAAAGTTTGTTTCAAAGTGGACAAATAAATCCAATATGAATACCAAGATGGACCACTTTGATTGGATGTTTGTAATCAATTCCTTAAATCTCCAGGCCCCTCTTCTCTGCCCCTTTTCACATGCAAAATCATCCCATTTTCATATCTTTCCCTAAACAGTTTCACCATTTCTACTTCAATCTAATAGTTTGTTGGTAAACAAACAAGATTACTCAAGTACCATGCAAACAAAGATGCAGCCATATCAAGACATGATGAAGAATCATATCTGCAGATAATTAAAAAGCAGCTACATTTTGGAAACTGCTTTTCTAAGAGTTCGTAAACCACAATTTCTATAATATTATTTACAATATTTTACTGTATCAATATGACATCTGCTGAACCTGAACAGATCAGGAATATTTTTCTGCAACAGAAAATTTTGAGAAGAAGCTCTAAAATATTTGTTAGCAACATAGATTTTACAAACCAAATTTGTACTACTATGATCTAGATCTAGATCTAGAGGGTTCAGAAAGAAAAAAGCTCAGTGTAATGGACAGAGAATAAAATTCCACCTTCTTATTACCAAAGGGTTCATGTGTCCAAGCTCCAAACCTGTGACCACTCTTCCATTTCCAGGGGCTAATTTCTTTCCTGGGAGGAAAAAGAATAAATAATGAATTAATATAAAGTCAATACATAATATAAACACTAAAATACAGTATCCCTGAACTTTGTCATTTATTTCAAAAATACTTCTATCTTTTCTACAGTTCTAGTACTACCGTTGATTTATTTTTTTTTTTTAGTAGCTAGTATTATCGTTGAATTTTCATAAACATTTCAAAAATATCTGAGCAAACATCAATTAATATTTTGAATGGAAAGTTGACATGGCAAAATCTAGAATGATATGACAATTAACACCCCCCAAAAGTCTCTTTCCTCCATTGTCAACCGACTATTTGTTTCTCCACTGTCTACCCAATTTCGTCCTAATTCTTTATTTTAAAAACGATAGCTTCTTCCTCATTTTTTATCTCTTTTAGATTTAATCTAGTTCTAATGTTAATTTTCAGATTTTGTCATGTCACGTGTCCATTCAAAATATTAATGGATGTTTGCTCAAACGGTATTTTTGAAATGTTTATGAAATGTCAAAGGCCGTATTGAAGGCAAAGTCTAGGCGTATTTTTTGTAATTTAGCCTAACATAAGTAAACGAGTCCAGTGGAGGAAATGAAGGACCTAAAATATAATGGAAGGATTCAATGCAAGTTTATATACTGCGCGCTTCTGTTACAGGTTCACTACAAAGGCCAAAGAAATCAGATAAGATTCATGTTATAGAGTTTATGGCATAAACAGGGATCAGTATGCTCAATAACTTGGGCTGTGAAAATGGTGGAAATCGTTATGTAGAATCTAATCTAACAATAAACTCAAGATGGATGGATGAACAGTTTTTATCAGCTTAAGACAAGATTAAAATCACTTCTAGAATGGGAGATCAGCAGTAAATGTTGGTGCAAAATATCAGAGCAGAAAATTGAGAACAAATGAAGGCAGATGCAAAATAAATGGCAAGAATTTAATAAATGCCAATAAAATGGAACAAGATAAAAGATGTTGAGCGTCATATATGTATGACAACCCCATAGATAGGAACATGATTGTGTGTTTATACCTTGTCGTCGTCGGTTTTATTCCATGTGTTGTTTTTAGATGCAAAGACGGGGTCACCAACAACAATTGTAGCTGGTGAATGAAGAGCAGCATTCTTAATAAGTGGAAGCTTCTCAGGAGCATAGTCATCGTCGCTGTCATAATATCGACGCGCTCCGATTGCTTTTAGTATCATTGCCAACAAGAGAGACAAACCCTGAGACAAGCCAATCGACATTGCAAGTTTTTCACAAGGAATATACCTCAAGACACTGGCCAACATGAGAGAAAAAAGAGAGCTAGAGACCTGAATTGACACCATTGTGATCCCTATCCATTTGCAGATATTGAAGTTCAATCTGATGAAATGTTTGAACTGATCAAAACTTCCACTTGGATCCTCTGGGAAGTCCTGGTGTAAAGTTAAAAGTAATCAGCTATACGAACATATATTCGGTAGCATCCAGTTGTATCGCCTTGAGTATGTAAGAATTTCACCTCCTCCCAGTCACGATTCAGAAATATGTCAGTAGTCAACCCGGCCTCCACCATAAGAAGCAG